CAAAAACTACCTTTTTAAGTCATATGACGCATTAAATTGTGTCAAAAGGTTCATTTAGCACGGAAGGACGCGTGACAAAGAGGTCGTGGTTTGCTCTTTATTTTGTACAAATGTTTCGGAAATATTTTCAGTGAAGAAGTTCCTGCTTAGTCACAAGACAAACACTGAAAACGAGGAGTGGCTATTCAAGATGCTCCCTTTTGATTCGGACAAATTACGTCACATGTTTATTTTATTTAAACAGTTGATCAACTTTACGGAATTGTGCAAATAACATTCTTGATTTATTTGAACAACCTAAAATAGCAGTGTTTTTCCATATTTGGATTTTTATCATTCCAAGAAAGAGAGAGAAAAATGCGGATTCTCTCCAAAGCAGAAAAGGATTAAATCACATTTTTTCCGCAAAATTCTCCGATTATAGTTTAATTCAAAGCTGCAATTTCCTCTTTAGGCGTTCTTTGATCGAAGCAGACGTGACTCAATTTCACAAGTAATCATGCCGATAATTTTCCTCGGTGCGCCGCCAACGTATATTAATTTTTTTTTTTTTTGAATGTATTTACTTACACTGACTAATCCTTTTATATTATTTATATTCCGGCCCACAACGCACACAGACACGGAAAACTGCATAAGTTTATGATCTCGTTCGAAGGCAGCTTATCTCTGCGGATGCAGGCGCTGACGAAAAAATTTCATATCTTGTTAAGGAGTTTACAGAAGGAAAGTCTTATGAAGCATTTTTCTGAGCTTTGAAGGGAGGAAACGATAAGATTTTGGCCACGTTAGATAACTAGGTCTGAGAGGCGTTAATTTATTTGAAATACAGAGAGACAAGTAATAATTTTTGAGAAAAAAAAAATACATATTTGCTGTTCGCAAATTAGATTATTTAAAGAAAGGCTCAGCCCATTACTTTTTATGAAGATTTTTTAAACGTTCCGAAACTGAAATGAAATTTTTAGAAAAAAATTTTTAATTTTGCTACAAGTAAATTTTGGTTTTATTTTTTAATTGAATTCCTTAATTGAAAACTTGGATTTAATGAAATTTATTAAATATTTAATTCCGAACAAAATAAAATTCAGCTAAAATAAAAAAAGTGTTAAAATATATGAAAAGATTAAAATCTTTACAATTTTTTTTTTCATTTTAAGCTCTCAAAATAATTCAACTTTCTTTCAGTTTAATCCAATATGAACAAAAGTCAAAACAAGAAAAATGCCACAATTATAGATTCTCTTAATAAAGTAAAACATAAAATGAAGATGTCTCACCTTTAAAGTTTCTAATTTGTAATCTTTTCGTGTCAGAAAGTGATAGGGTTGAAGTTCAGACTTCTTCTTGTCAGGCCAAAAGAAAGGCGCGAGTGACAAATGTTCGCAAACTTTGCGAAATAATGAGCATAATGGGGCTGCAGCGTCGCACGGCTTGTGGTAAACGACATTTTAATTCGCGCCCGGCACGCAACGTCGCGCGACAAAGCGAAAAAACAGGACGAAAAAACGAGGCCAACGCAAATAATACAATTTGTTGAATTAGATTGTCAGTCTGACATTTTGTATAAGCACAAAGCAAATTATATCTCTTTTTTATAACTTTAAAACTAAACTCGTGAAAAAAAGTAATCCATAAAAATTAAAAATCTTTTTTATTTCTCTATCAAATTTATTCACATTTTTTTTTATGAATTCAAAATTTTTATCTTTGATTTAATTTTTCCTTTAGTAAGCATCTTTAACCAAAAATTATAAATTTAATTAAGATGATGTTCCCGTTCGAAAGCTCCTTTCCTTTCGGAATGAAAAGCATCAGCAGTTTGATCTTAACTAATTCGCGTCAGCCTCTGCGGAGCCAATTAATATTTCAGTCAGACACACGTCGCCGCGATCATTTGTGGGTGTCAATTGAATTAGACGAGAGGCACCCGTAATTGGAGTTATTACTCTCGAGGAGACGCGGTCGCAATGTTAAGCGCCATTTCCACCGGTAACTTCATTCTGGCATTGGGAGCAGTCAGGTAGGCCACTGGTGATGACGAATGGAAAATTCAATAAAAATCAATAAAAATAATCAAATAATTTGCAACGTAAATTATTTAATATTGATTTTTATAGACTTCAGAGGCTTTTTTCCACTAAATTTTAATTCATAAAGATTCATAAATTGATATAATTATGGGATGTGATATAAATTATTTTGCCTATAGTGAAGCAAAAAACTTGGATCACAAATTTAACATAATTATCTAATGCAAAAGTCAACAACAGTAATTAAAAAAATTTGTAATTAAATAATATAATAATTATAATATATATTATATAAACAATTATCAAGGATTTAATTTAATAATTTAATTAAAAAAATGAAGATTCTAAATGAAAATAACTTCAAAAACAGTCATCATGAAAATTAATATTCCTCTTATAATTATTAATGTTTATTGACTCATGAGGCGTCACCACAATGTAATTACTCATTGCAATGCGCCTTATTTGTAACAACGATGTAAAATTATGAGTAAATTTACAAAGATAAATACTTTTATTTTAATCCAAAACTTTTTTATTAATTTTTAAGCCAAAGAACTTTGAAGTATTAAAAATTTAACAAATGATTTATAAAATAAAATTTAATCAGAAACTAAAATTATTTGTCATTTTCTTAATCAATATAATTATGAGCCAATCATTTAAAAATTAAAAAAAATCACAATATTGATACATTGCAGGATATTATAATTTATTATTTTTATTTAATAAATATAGAATTTAATTTTCTTTCATTTTGTTTGGTTTTAATTCTAAAATAATTTCAAGATTACTATTAAAATTTACTGAATTTTTTCCAATGTTTCTGTAACATTTTGATTAAAGGAGAATTGATATCAAAATTATTTAAAATTAATAGCAATTAATAGCTAACGATGAGAGTTAATAAAATGCGACCAGAGGAATGTTATAATTTGTCTACTATGACCATAAAAAAGCAAGTTGCACGTCGTTAGTTCACACGGAAAGGCTGCTTTGCTTAACGACGCAAATTGCACTCACTCGGTTTGCAAGGAGGCTGCGAGGCGGGTTGCATAATCCATAATTGCAAGCGTAATAATCTGCGTCGGATGCGGCAATCGGTCCAAGTACGTATGTCAGTAAGTTTGCTTCGCAACATACAGGAGCGGTCCAGTTTTTGCATTTCAATTGCTCATTGTTTTTATCTGCGTTGGCTGTGATTCATTCAGATTATTCGCTTCCTCACAGGAAAAAGACGCAAGTGGGAGTAAAAAAAAAAAACACGGAATTTATACAAATTAAAAAAAATTAATCAAAATCTTAAATTGATGAGGAAGTAAATGATTGTCAAACTTTATCTTTTAGAAAAAGTTAGGTCACGTGACCGAATGGATTTTCTGCTGATGTCACTCGGACGAATCTCGTTAAAAATGCATCGTCTCGTGCGACTTTGAAGGATTTATTTATTTATTTGCTTAATGCCCTATCCAAGCTGGCAAGGTAAGCCGCCCAGCTACTGTGAGTTGCCGGCTGCATACAAATCGCGGGACTCTTTGTTTCCCAAGTCGACGTTTCGTCACCAACACTTTTCCGTGACAACCAGCCAAATACCCAAAATCCTCTTTTTTCAGCTTCTTAATCAAATTAGTTTCAATAAAATGTGTTCAAATACGTAATTAAAATAATATTAGTAGCTAAAATGTGAAAAATATTTAAATTACAAAATTAATTCATGGGCAAAGCTCAGAAGCTCTATTAATTTAATTTCATCCAAATTTTTATCAAGCATTAAAGTTTTAATTGAAAATTATTTCTTTTTTTTTCAGTTAATTCGTATAAATTTCTACCTTTTTGTATTTTAATTGAAAAAATTCGTCAAATTAAAAAAATGAATGAAAAAACTTTTATTTTCTTTCAAATTTTTATACTCGGAACGGGAGCAGCGGAGAGTGACCGCCGCCAAGGTCGTGGGGTGTAAAATTGATTTTACGGGAGCTCTGCTTTCAGTCTAGCTTGCAGCTTTCTCGTTCGCTCGAGCCGCATTCTTCGCTTGTGTACATCATGTACTTGCTACTTTTGCAGAAATGCACCGAGATGGCAGAGCCGAGTTGCGAAACACGAGATCATGAAAGCAGCGGGCGGAGGAGAAGGATGGGCAAAGGCAAAAGCCAGAAATACATACTCGTTGACGTGCATTCGTTGTGCAAGGCCGAAGGATTTCAAAAGATTCGCAGTCTATTGTAAACTTTTCAACTCAAAGAAGAAATTCTCTTATTAAGTTGAAATTGCATGAGTAAAACATGATATTAAAAACTTGTGGAATTTAAATTTTAGGTGCAATTATTCGACAAGTAATAAAAAGAAAATTGAAAATTGAAGCGGAAATTATTTAGAATTTATTAGATTATTTATTACTTAGAAAAGCGGAAATTTTTAGAATATTTTACAAGCGATGGTATTATTAAGTTTAATGAATTTAAAACCAACGATTCTGCAAACAATTCCAAAAGAACTGTCTAATTGTGGTTGATGAAATAAAATAAAAATAATTAAGTTTCAAGTTTTCAATTTGCATCCACAATTCTGGAGCTTGTACGAACTTAAAATTAAAATTTATAATTAAAAAAAAATTAATAACTTTTCCTTACTAATTTGACAAAATCTTTAAGGGAAATTAATTCTTTTTAAATACTGAAAATAAAAAAGATTTTGAAATTATAAAAAATTATTCTTTAGGGTAAATTTGATTACAAATAAAGCAGGAATTGTACTGTGGAAATTGAAAAAAAATCAATCCTACCTCAAAACTTTGAACTTTTTCAACAATATTTATATTATCTTAATAAAAATTAATTGTTTATATTTGAATTTTCTAAGTTTGAATATCATTGATATTTTAAATAAACCAAGTTTTGTAGGGCGTAGGTAGCTTGCCAGCTGACACAAGTAAGAAAACTATTTTTTTTTCTTCATAACTGTACTCACCTTTCCGTTGTCGGGTCAGCGCAGTTGAGGGGGTGTCGCAGGTCGATGATTTCGCCATTCTTCATCCGCAGCTGGCCCTGATTCTCCATGTAGTGCTGCACCAGCTCGGACAGGGTGGCAAACTTGTCCCCGCTGAAGAGGTTGTAGAAGTCGCCATTGTTCTGGATTTTGATGTGCGTCACCTCTCCATTCCTTCTGAAAGTAATTTTCAAAAAATTAGTTTTCTTGATTTTCACAGCATATAACTTTTCAACAAAATTGCAAATTTGTAAATTTAATGTATAGTTAAACAAATAAATTCAAATTTTGTGCAATCACCAATTCTAAAATGATTTTGAAGGTAAAAAAATATAATTATAAAAAAATATCATATTTAAGATCGATTTTAGAGTAATTTTTTAAAAATAATGAAAACAAATTTGTTGAAAACTTTGAAACTATTTATTTCAATTTGTGAACTCTATTAAAAATTTAATGATTGCAAAGACTTTCTTATTAGAAAAGAAATTAAAAACAATATTCTACTTTTTGAAATAAATAAAAATAATTCAAAGACTGATTAGTTTTTCAAGAGTTTTCCTATTAAACAAAAACCCATCAATTATAAAATTATTCTAAAAAAACTCCACTTTCATTAGATGTCTTAGATTAAGGTATTATTTTCTATAAATTTTTCAATTCAGTTTTTTTCAATTTAGTAAAAAAGCAGGCGTCAAGTTGGAAGGCTCTTCTTACTTGACAGAGAGGGTGAAATCTCCGGGGCTGCTGTTCGAGGGTCGGGCGAGGAAACTTCCTTCATATCCGCGCTCCTTCAGCAGATTTTCGGCGTCGATGCCTGAGATGTTGGGATGAAACCACCTGCAAAGAACAACAATCAGTCTGGCTGTGGAAATTTCGATTCGCACATTCGGGAGGGAAAATACAAAAGCGGCGACCGAGAAGTTTCCGATTGTGAGCGGCAACTGCGAGTTCTGATTAATCTAATCTTCAATATAATTACTGCCCCAGATAAGAAAAGTGCATGTTACGACAGCTCTCGTCGTTCCAGAGGGAAAAACGGCTAGGAATTTGCTGCTTTTCTTACCGCATTTCAAAGTACCAACTGCAGTTTAATAGCAAATTAATCTAATCAGTTCTGGTGGCGCAACGGCCGGTTTAAGTAAAACCACACTACTTCCGCCAATTTTCCCCCTATTATGAAAGAAGAGTGTATGTGGAAAAATTAAACCTTATGAAATAATAATACGAAAAATGTTAATTTGTATTTAATTTAAATTTTAAATTCAATCCACCTCGAGTATTAATTTTTGAGTGTCTTTTATTTTTGCTAAAGAAAGTTTCCTGAGTCGAAAATTGACAACAACACCTGTTTTTTTTTAAAAATTTATAAATTAATTTTGTAATAATTTTGACCTAGTTGATTTTTGCATACATTTTAGTTGTGCAAGTGACAAAAAAATAATAATTAATAGGACGATTTCAATTTAAAAAAATAATTATGAACAAGAAAAATTAAAAATTGTTCTTTCCGAGTTGTTTTAAACAAAACTTATCAAAGAGAAAGAACTAGATTTTTCATTATTTTTTCCCAGGCATAGATGAATAAAAAATGAAAAAAATCTTAATGAAACAAGTTTCATAATTACAAAAAATTAGTATTTCCCAATATAAAGATCTCTAAAACAAATTTTTGTGCCAATTTTTTTTGGCATTCTGCTATGAATTTAATCAATAATGAAATAGATTTGAAATTTATGATCTTCTTCACTCTTTAAAAATATCAAAGTTGATTCAAGTTTTAGGGCAAAATTAAAAATAATTCCTGTCGCGGGGTCATTAATATTAGCTTTCCTGTATTAACGAAATGCAAAGTTTATAATTGAAATTTAATATCTTTAATTTTTTTTATGAATTATCATCATTTATCACTATTTTTAAAATTAAAAGGAAACAAAAGATTAAAATTACTGGCACTGGGACTTCATTCTATGTTGATTTTTTATAATTATTAATTTTACTAATTTAATATCAGAAATACATTTATATTAAATTAATTTCTATAATTTCAGATCATTTTCCATTGTTTTGAAATTAAAAAGTAAAATTTCTAAATCTACGTCTGATTGATTTAATTAAATTTGCAGTTATTTGTTATTTCAAAAACTGAAACATTCATTTCTTGATCACGTAGGAAAATTTAAACAAATTAAATGCCTGAATCAATTCTAAATTCTCATCAAGAACAAATTTTTCTTTCAATTTTGTACATTTGTTGATTGTCTAATTTTTTATTAGTGTAAATACCTGTCCCAGCAATTTCGATCAGAGGGTGTGGTCGTGCGGTCTGTATTTGAAAGCGCCACCCGTCGAAAACAAATTAATGTGTCGCGCGATTGATTGAGCGTCGCCGTCGGATGAAAATTGATGCGCCTCGGCCAAAAGGGCCGCTTCACGTGTGCACGATTTTATTTATGCATCACCAGAGCTAGGCAGGGTCGGAAAAGTTCGCAAGCACATAATGTAAAGAAGAGTACGTGCGGTCGGGCCAAATTAATTTGATCCTGTGAGCGAACGAACGAGCAAAAGAGTCCGGAGCTCGAGGCCTAACCCCAATCCATATTCAAGAGCAAGCGCTGACCTCAGGGGGCTTTACAATATAATACACGACCGGTCTCCTTTTTTTCCACAAACATCCTTCAAAATTATTTATATAAAAATAAATAAAAATTAAAAAATTCTAACTAAAGGTAAAAAGTAGTTCCCTAAAAACATTTACTCTCAAAATTGAAAAATATGGTCATTTCACAATTCTGGACCATTGTAATTTGGTAAATTTAATTGTAATTGTTTAAAAGTTAATTTAGGATTAAATTTAAAAAAACAAATTCAATTTGAAATTTTAGCCTTAAATTTAAATCTAACCTCAAAATTTGACACTAATAGGTCGAATTAATTGCAAATGGCCCAGAACTGCAAGATAACCATTTTTTTTCACTTTAAAGTAGCAAAATATAAAAAAAATCAATGGGGCTGGAAGCAAAAATTGCATTTTTCTAGTTTTAAGTTCCTAATTAAAGCTTTAAAAAACATAAATTTAGAACCGTCATTTTGCGTTTTTTAAGTTTTTTCAATGTTTTCCGATTTGAAAATGAGACACACACTTATGTCTCAAAATAGCAGACGAATAAAAAAATATTTATTACGATATAATTAAAACAAAAAAAACTGTTTCTTTTGCTAATTTGAAGGAAAAAATTGAACAAAAAAAACTGGTTATCTTGCAGTTCTGGGCCACTGAAATTAAATCGGCACCAATATTTAATTATAAATTTTACAAAATTTACTCCCTATTTACATTTTGGAAGTTCTCTTTGTTTTTAGCTTTTATTATCCATCAAAATTATAATTTATATACATAAATTTAAATTTTAATTAAGAGATATTTACATTTTTTTTAAATTTTATTCATGAGGTTAATTTTAAATTCTATACGACTAAAAATAAATTTGGCCACAGCATTAAATTGTTCATTTTAAATACGTTATTTAAATTCTGGAACAGAATTAAAAGGTTAGAATCGAATTCGACCATAGTTGAGGTTGAAATTCAAAAATTTAAGAGAATTTTTTCAGTTTTAACTTGATTCTTGATTTGAAGAGAAAAAATTCACAATTTTTCACCTCATTGAAATTGAATCAAATTAATGACATTTAAATTTTTAAAATCTAGTTCAAATTATTCCGATTTCACATCCAATGGTCCGTGATTGCCAATCAACCATAGCAAAATAAAGGTTTAAATTGCAATTTTTAATTAATTTTATAAAATTAAAGTCATTAGAGCTGTCTATTGTTTAAAAATTGGAGAGAAAGTGTAGCTGGACCGGAGAGTGCAAGCGAATTGCACCTGCGAATCGTGTCATAAGGTCGACGCACCGTTAATCGCCACTCTCGAATTGTTGCCAGGCCGCGGCCCGAGCGCCGCCCCTGCGCCTCCGGGGGCCTGGCCCAGGCTGCCCCCGGCCTCCGGAGGCCCTCGGCGGGCCGCGACCACGTCTCAGGGGGTGTTTACGAGTGGCTGGGGGCCTCGCGGGGACCGTTTGTCGCGAATAAAAAGACAAAAGACCCCACACGCGGGGCCGCACGACTCACCCTCGCGTTGTCATCGCGACGCCACTTTTTCGGCCACGATTCGGCGGTCGGGCGAACCTGCACTGCAACTATTCGGCCACAGCAACGCGTCGGCGGCTCCGATGTCGTCGGTCGGGGCCGAGTCGAAAGCCAAGGTTGTTCACAGCCCTGCCTGCTGCTCGGCGAAAAAAGTAATTTCTCTTCGCGACTCGATAGACTACTTGGACTCCCTCTATCAACGTTTCTCCGCGTGCTGCCACGCACAGCTGCTGCCATCTGCCGCCGGCCTTTCGAACCACCTTCCTAAAATTTTAAAGTAGATGAAAACCTCTAAAAATGTTTTTTTTTTTTCAAATCCTTCAAATCTTAATGGAAAACATTAAAATGTACTCAATTTGAATCAAATATGATGAAAAAAGCATCATTTTCTAATTTTCAACTCATCCGAACGAACCATTTTCAGTTTTCAATCGTTTTATAACTCATTGTAAATTCAACTCTAACTTTCATGGAAAACTAAAAAATCTTCAACCACATTAATTTGGCAGCAGTTTTAATAAACCCTTATTTATGTATCTCCGGCGGCCCACGGCGGCCATATAGGATTTTGAAAAATATGAAAAAGTTTCATTACTTGAGAATTGTAGAAATCAAAATTTGAACTATCATGTTATTTGATTATAGAAATCAATTAATTCCAAGCGCTCTAAAATTGGATTGATTTTCTCCGAAACGAGAAAAATGCAAAATAAAAACACGTTTTTTAACATTTAATTTAACTTTTCTCAAAAATTTATGAGGTGCCCTTGACCTCCAAATGTTCTGGTGAGTGAGTGAGTGAGTGAGTGAGTGAGTGAGTGAGTGAGTGAGTGAGTGAGTGAGTGAGTGAGTGAGTGAGTGAGTGAGTGAGTGAGTGAGTGAGTGAGTGAGTGAGTGAGTGAGTGAGTGAGTGAGTGAGTGAGTGAGTGAGTGAGTGAGTGAGTGAGTGAGTGAGTGAGTGAGTGAGTGAGTGAGTGAGTGAGTGAGTGAGTGAGTGAGTGAGTGAGTGAGTGAGTGAGTGAGTGAGTGAGTGAGTGAGTGAGTGAGTGAGTGAGTGAGTGAGTGAGTGAGTGAGTGAGTGAGTGAGTGAGTGAGTGAGTGAGTGAGTGAGTGAGTGAGTGAGTGAGTGAGTGAGTGAGTGAGTGAGTGAGTGAGTGAGTGAGTGAGTGAGTGAGTGAGTGAGTGAGTGAGTGAGTGAGTGAGTGAGTGAGTGAGTGAGTGAGTGAGTGAGTGAGTGAGTGAGTGAGTGAGTGAGTGAGTGAGTGAGTGAGTGAGTGAGTGAGTGAGTGAGTGAGTGAGTGAGTGAGTGAGTGAGTGAGTGAGTGAGTGAGTGAGTGAGTGAGTGAGTGAGTGAGTGAGTGAGTGAGTGAGTGAGTGAGTGAGTGAGTGAGTGAGTGAGTGAGTGAGTGAGTGAGTGAGTGAGTGAGTGAGTGAGTGAGTGAGTGAGTGAGTGAGTGAGTGAGTGAGTGAGTGAGTGAGTGAGTGAGTGAGTGAGTGATGAGTGAGTGAGTGAGTGAGTGAGTGAGTGAGTGAGTGAGTGAGTGAGTGAGTGAGTGAGTGAGTGAGTGAGTGAGTGAGTGAGTGAGTGAGTGAGTGAGTGAGTGAGTGAGTGAGTGAGTGAGTGAGTGAGTGAGTGAGTGAGTGAGTGAGTGAGTGAGTGAGTGAGTGAGTGAGTGAGTGAGTGAGTGAGTGAGTGAGTGAGTGAGTGAGTGAGTGAGTGAGTGTGTGAGTGAGTGAGTGAGTGAGTGAGTGAGTGAGTGAGTGAGTGAGTGAGTGAGTGAGTGAGTGAGTGAGTGAGTGAGTGAGTGAGTGAGTGAGTGAGTGTGTGAGTGAGTGAGTGAGTGAGTGAGTGAGTGAGTGAGTGAGTGAGTGAGTGAGTGAGTGGTGTGTGAGTGAGTGAGTGAGTGAGTGAGTGAGTGAGTGATGTGAGTGAGTGAAGTGAGTGAGTGAGTGTTGTGAGTGAGTGAGTGTGTGAGTGAGTGAGTGAGTGGTGAGTGAGTGAGTGTGTGTTGTGTGAGTGAGTGAGTGAGTGAGTGTGTGAGTGAGTGAGTGGTGAGTGAGTGAGTGAGTGAGTGAGTGTGTGTGTGTGAGTGAGTGTGGTGAGTGAGTGAGTGAGTGAGTGAGTGTTGAGTGAGTGAGTGAGTGTGTGTGAGTGAGTGAGGTGAGTGAGTGTGTGAGTGGTGGTGAGTGTGTGAGTGAGTGTGGTGGTGAGTGTGTGTGTGAGTGAGTGGTGGTGGTGGTGAGTGAGTGAGTGAGTGAGTGAGTGAGTGAGTGAGTGAGTGAGTGAGTGAGTGAGTGAGTGAGTGAGTGAGTGAGTGAGTGAGTGAGTGAGTGAGTGAGTGAGTGAGTGAGTGAGTGACTGGAGGTCGTCTTGCCCCATTCTAAACCCATCCCAAGGGCCCCTATTCTTCCTAGCAGTACCCTACAATAAGATTGTAGGAAAAGATTTGCGTCGCGCGTGCTATACATGTTGCCGAGGTATTGATGGAATATTTGGTTTTCTTAACAAATATACCGCCACCAGTTTTGTACGCGCGACGTAAAACCATTATTGTATGCGCGACGTAATGCAAGTGATGCCAACTGAAATCAGGGATTTTGGGAACCACGTTGCGCGTACTATAACATTACCTTTTTATCTTTATTAATTACAGTAAAATTCTCAAGCAAATCAATTGGAAAAGATTGCCCACCTGATATGGCTGATGAATTTTTATTTCTGTTATATTGGAATATGTATCTGAGCGTTAATAATTAATAATATTTAAAAAAAGTTGATTGAGTTTAAAGAAGGACACGAGGACATTTAAATATTTCTTAAACTATGGAAGAGTTGATTTATTAATTTTCATGTTCTTTTGGCAAAATATAAAAATTTTCGCCTCCCGCCCTTCCCTTCATTTATAAAGAATATTTCATTTGAAATTTACTTACAAATTCATCATTGTGAATTGAAAATAATATAAAATATTTTTATTATGAACTTGAGAAAAAAAAATCAATAAAGTTCATTCTTCTTTAAATTTAACTAAAGAAAAAATGTGGGTTTTTGCTCTGTTTTAAGATTGTTGGAAACAAAAACCGTAAGTTTAGCTCACGTTTCTTATATTTCATAAGAGTAATTATTTTGATTTTTTTAATTAATTAATTGTGAAATAGGTTGTTTCCTTGGCTGCTATCTAGCGCCCACATTTTTTTGCCAATTCCGGCCACGGTGACCTTTGTTGCCGAGAGATATCCACGATCTTTGTTCACGTTCACACTCGGCAGCTCCTTTTCTTTGGAAGGGGGAAGAGCAAACAGCATTGAGAGTCCCGCAGGTGGGGGCCCTGTTCGCAGGTAGGCGCCTGGTTTTTCGCTGCGGCAGGATTAGTCCACCTTTTGCCGCCGCACGTCCACGGCGAGCATTTAATCTGTCTATTTCTGTAGCGCAGTGCGTGTGTGCATTATTACGAAAATAGCATATCTCGGCAGTGAAAGTGCAGCGGGTGTGCATAAATTATATACACGGAGCTTGTTTTTTCGAGAAGAAAATCAAATCAGCGCACTGCGGATGTTTCCTTTCCAGCGCCTAGTGCAATTCCGTACTTTTGTTTTGATTGAATAAGATTGTGAAGCGAAGCGGAAGAGGAGCGGCAGGAAAAATTATTTTGCTCTTACTCTGCAAATAAGAGGTGAGTTGAATGCACTTTTAAGAGATGCCAAGTGGAGACGAGAGACGCTACTCCGCTCCAGTCATAAAAAGCAAAAAGCGCGGCATTGAGTTTTTTAATTTTATTTTGAAAATTTAACAGAAAAAATCGGAGTTTTGTATTAATTTCAGAAAAATCTACTCATGAAATCAAGGGAATTGTTATTGCTCGCCGAAAATTGCGCAAACCGCTTTTGTCGTTTTCAATTTTCAAGGTTAACAAGTTATGCCTTGGGAGAGAATCGTCCTTTTTCAGAGTCTCTTATCCAGAGCAAATTTATTGCTAGATTAATGGCTTTCAGTTAATTAGCATGAAATTCCCCAGCAAAAAGATATAATTCAAGTCCATGCACTTTATGATAATGAGTGAAATTCAAAAGCCTAACCCTGAAATATTAAGAAATTTCAACGACGAATTAGTCACAATATTATTGTTCATTTTTTTTAACAATTTTATTAAATGGAATAAATATAATAAAAATGAGTAATTCTTAAACAAAGAAAGTCGAGATTTTGGTAAAATTTTAGCAAATTCAGTTTTCCGTTTTGTTTTTACTCAAAATCTGACAATTAATCTCCAAATTATAAGAGCAAATTTCTGTTAAAAATTAGCACGTCGTTTCGTGTTTCCATTTATTATCAACCTTGAAAAACTTCTCTGAATCATTGATCTGGTACACGGCGGCAGCAGCTCTAACTCGGAGGAAAAATCCTTGACTCACGAATTAGGAAGCCTTTACTAGAGGCTGAAGCCGCCAAGGTTTTAAAAATTATTGCCCCCAACACTATTTCTTCAGTGTTTTTAGATTGAAGGAAAAATTGTCATCCTGTCTATACATAAGAAGCCCTTGATTTTTTATAACAAAATAAAAATGCATCTCCTGCTCGATCTTCATTGTGTCAATTTTGAAGGCCAAGAAAACCTGAAAGTTTTTTAAAAACAGACAAACAAGTTAAATTTGAACTTTTATCTATTTATTATTTTTAAAAATTTCTAATCATTTCTATTTATATTTAGCAAAATTTAAATTATTCAAAATGTTATCACTATTTTAAAAATAATCAAATTAATTAATTATTAATTAATTTATTTTTACTCTCACACAATAATTAAAACTTTATAATTAAAATAAATAATTATCTTACTATTTTTACCTAATCTTGAATAATATTTTCTTGAATAATATTTAATTGATGGCACGTGAGACGTGTCGATTTTTTGTGCATTTCACGTCATATTTCTTGTGAGTCACGATTTAAACAACTCAAAGTCAGCGAACGTTGACGCTTAGCTCGGCGGCCATCAGCGTGACTCTTATACATGAAGAAATTTCGGCACAAGGTTCTAAAAATGCTAACCATCCTTTTCTTTTTACAATACTGCCTCTTCACCACATCCACACACAAAACAACTCTTGGAAGTGCAAAAAAGTACAAAAATTTAATCTCTTTCGGTCTGGCTCGTGGTTTGCGCTTTTTGTTTTAAAAGTGCGTCCTTGGCACGTCCCGCGGAATATTATGACGAATGTGTGCGCTAAGAGGGCTGCAACCCTCTCTCCGTAGGTCTCTCAAGGGACTCGTAAAGTAATCAGCCTGCAGGCCGGCGATTTCGCAAGCCGTGTATGTATATTTACGGCAAGGGAGAGTGTGTGTGTGCTTATGCAACCACCCTACCACCCCATGCGTTTTAAAACCCCGGTGCTCACGTTGGAGCTATTTTTATACACGCACAAAAGGCGCGGTATTTACTTTATTTCGGGGCTTCTCTAATAGGGGTGCTTTAGTTTCACGACAGGGTCGTCGCTCCCGAAATAGATTCCACAGTTTCTCTGCTCCACGCCAGTCTTTGTTTACGTCTTCATCTTTAAAGGGAACGACTTTTAGCGCAATTTGTGAAGGAAAAAAGTAAAAAAAAAAGAGGAGAAAAAGCAGTGACGTTTGAAATGTGCGTAGTTCGCAACCCGCTAAACATAGAAAATTCCATATAATATCAAATGAACTATTTTGATTTGTAAATGTCCTTTCAACCTGCATTAATTGTATGTAATATGAACCTTCGGCATTAAAAAAATTATAGGAAATGCGGATTGAAATTCAAAATAAAAAGACATAAATAATTATACGTCAATTCTACGATTTTTTTTTAGATTTTAAATAGAGTATTTTAACAAATTTAAGTGAGCTTTCCAATTGATGGACTGGCTGGTTCAAATTTTTTAAATAATAATCTAGTTTCAACAAATCTACTCGATTTTAATGTGAGTTTTGAGTTCAATTTTAGGTGCAACAACAAATTCAAAGATGAAATTTTTAAGAAAATTATACGAGCTCTTTGAGTATTAAAATACTTTTACTAATTCTGACAATGAGATAATTTATTCAGTGATCAGCAAAATAAATTTCAGTTAAAATCACACAGAGCGCTATTATTTATTTTAACGTGAAAAAATTAACTTGCTTTTTCTTAAAATTTATCCATTTTAAGGTCTTTCTAGATTTTTGTGTCTTTTCCAATTCAAATGAACCTTTTGAATCTAAAAATTGAATAATTACTTCTGCAGTATTGCAATTTTATCACTTATTGCTCACAAATAAATTCGTAGAAATAATTTCGGAGATTATTTTTTAGGATTTTTAAATTTTATTTAGTAATCGATTCCATAAAATTATCCAAATATTTGAATTTAAGTAAAAAAAGAATCTGTGTTTCAATGAAATATAATTTAGAATTTTAATTCAATTATACAATTTTTTTGGTAATCTCTCAGAATATTTACATTTTTTTTTTACTCACCTGATGAGAAACTGGAATGAAAAGCTCGCGGCACATCCTTGCTCGGAATGAAACCGACGAGATAAAGAAGTCGAGCTTTTAGGACTGCGCTCGAAGCGGAAACAAAAGTGATGAATTAGCAGCGCCAGTCAAAACAACGATTACAAAATTGCGTCATCATTTCGCGCTGCAAGCCAATTTACGAGAACGACCTGCTTAGCCGTGCTAATGCGCTTTTTCCGGCGTTTTTCAGCCACCATGGAGGTGACCCCGGCAGAGTCGACGGTGGCCACCGTGTCGCGGCCGCCGCTCAACTCGCAAGTGTCCACCCTGTGGCAGCGCAAGCAGAACGCCGTGTGCGTCCGCAGGGCCTGCAAGAGGTACGGCACCAACAGCAACCCGCACGTCGTCCTCGAAAACCTCAACATGACCGTGCCAAAGGGATCAATGTGAGTGCAAAATTTTATATAGATCTATTAAAAATCAATTTAATTTATTAAATTTTATACATGAAAAATTCCTCAAAAAAAGTTTTAATAAATTCAAAACTTCATTTTATAGCTTGTAATTTTTTTAAATTTAAAACAAGTAAAATTAAATTAAGAATAAATTTAAATTACATTTTTATTATATTATTTATTTGAATTATTTCTGCTCTAAAAATTAAGATGGAACCGATTTTCCAACAAAGATGATGGTTTTATTTATTACAATTTTCACATTTATGCCATTTTAATTTGTTAAAAATCAGTATTTTCTGTAATTTTTGCTTTAAATTTTTACGAGCAACTGACAAAACGCACGAAAAACAATGAAATTTATCAATTTATTTTTTCATTTCAAAATTTTTATACATGAAAAATTCCTCAAAAAAAGTCGCAAATCAAAGTTTAGTGTTTTAATAAATTCAAAACTCCAATTTATAGCTTGTCATTTTTTTTTTCAAAATTTAAAAGAAGTAAAATTAAATTAAGAATAAATTTAAATTATATTTTTTATATTATTATATTATTTATTTGAATTATTTCTGCTCTAAAAATTAAGGTGGAGCCGATTTTCCAACAATTTTACAATTTTCACATTTATGCCATTTTAATTTGTTAAAAATCAATATTTTCTTTAATTTTTGCTTAAAATTTCTACTAGCAACTTCCATTTAGACTCGAGTAGACTGAAAAAACGCACAAAAACAATACAATTTATCATTATTTTTATTTTTATAAATTAAATTTTTCTTAATGATATTTTTAGGGATATCCTTTTTTTTCAAAAAAATTTTACCTCTCAAGATTTTTATTTTTTCTTTTCCTTTTTGAAATTTAGATACGGATTGCTCGGAGCGAGTGGTTGTGGCAAAACGACCCTGCTGACGTGCATAATCGGTCGTCGCCGTTTGAACACGGGCGAAATTTGGGTCTTGGGAGGCAAACCTGGTCAGCCCGGCACCGGCGTCCCAGGTCCCCGCGTCGGCTACATGCCTCAGGACATCGCCCTCAACGGCGAGTTCTCCATTAGCGAGACGTTGATGTACTTCGGCTGGATCTTCGGACTGGACACTGAGAAGATCGAAGAACGGCTCACTTTCCTGCTCAAATTCTTAGAACTGCCCTCCAAGAATCGTCTGGTCAAGACCCTCAGGTACGGAAATTATTCCTGCTTTTTCACCTAATAATGAAAAAAAAAATCAGATTTAAAGACCCACTTTGGTTATATTTTTTTATTTCCGATTCTGAAATTAAACAAAATTTTATGGCCGAAATTGACATTGCGATTGATAAATTCGGCTCAAAATTGCATTAAAACTGTTATTTCCCGCCAAAAGTGCTTGGGAAAAAAATTATTTCCAGAATTTTTTAAAATCCCCTCCTGAAGTAAAATTTTTATCAGGATTTTGACCTACGAAATTTTGTCAACTTTCAGAATTAAGAATGTAAAAATAAGCAGAAGTTGATCTATATTAATTAAGAGCAGTGACTGACCAAGGTTGCGGTTTTATTGGTTTTTTTAGTGGAGGCCAACAAAGAAGAGTTTCTTTGGCGGCCGCGCTGGTGCACGACCCTGAACTCCTTATTCTCGACGAACCGACTGTTGGGGTGGATCCAGTTTTGCGTCAAAAGTGCGTATATTTTGTCCAAGAATTGTCCAAGAATAAAAAATAAACAGTAACAAAATTCAAAACAATTTAAATTGAAAAACAAAAAATAATTATATATTTTTAATTGGGTTGGAAACGGATCTGACAAATTTAAAAAGTCATAAATTTGTGATTCAGATTCAGAACTTTTTCAAACTTTAAAAAAAAAAAATTAAACAAAAATTGAAGAACTTTTAACATATATATAAAAATATGATTTCAAAAGATAAAAAATCCTTCAGATTTAAAAAAAAAATTTCAAATATGATTATTATAAATTGTCTGATCAAATGAATTTCGTTTCCGCTTTTACTTTTTAAAACCTTTCAAAATTAGAAATTGTGAATAGATCCAAAATTTTATAATTTATTATTTTTTCTAGTTAATTTTGATGCCAAAACTAATTTCTCATTTCTTGGAAATCCTTAGCATCTGGGAGCACCTAATTGCCATTACCAAGGATGGAAACAAGACTGTGATCATCACAACTCATTACATTGAAGAAGCTCGTCAGGCACACGCTGTGAGTGAAAACCAATCTTATGCTTTTCTCCTCCTCCTCTCGTCCAATCATTTTCAATTCAAGTTTCGTCTCTTCTGAAAATTTCCATCCGCTCGGCAAAAAGTCGCGGCGCCTCATTTCCGATCACATTGTGCGTCAGACTTATTAAATTTTCCACTTCGCGTTTATTAGCGCAAATATTTTTGGAAAGCTTTTAATATACAAAGCGTACGTGTTTGCCCGAAAGGGAAAATTTAATTTGGCAATCCCGACAGAGCAGCTAATGCGTTTACGAGTCGCACGACCGGCCCGATTTTCCGAGTTCCCAGCAGCGAGGGTGACAGAACAAGTGAAGTGGAAAACTAAACAAAAACATGAATGTGATAATGGATTATACAAATTGCACGGCAATTAGTTTCCACGTTGAAAAAAAATTTGCAGCAAGATTTAGATTTAAATATTAAAATTGTTGAAATGGGGCTAAAATTTTAATTGAAAATTCGTCATTGTCCAAAATTTAAATGTTTAGTGAAATAAAATTTGATTTTTTTTCTGAATTTAATTTTATGTTTGGACAAATTTTTAAGGAATCGCAGGGACAATTTTTTAAAAATTAAAAAAAAATGAAATAAATATAAAAAAGAAGTTTTTTCAATTAAATCGTGTTCAAAACAAGCAACAAAATTAATTAAAATTTCTAAAATAAGTCTACAAATTTAATTTACACCAATTTTTCTCTCGCATATTTTTAATCAGAATTTTAAAAAATTCGCAAATTAGATTCTTCGCCTAAATATTATGCACCAAATTAAAACAAATAGGATAATTTTCCTATACATACGTTGCGACTTCAGACACACGCAAATTTGTTGTGCAACAAAAGAAACGTGCTAGTCAGACTCGCTTTCAGACAGAGTTCGGCAATAATTTTAGCACCTCGTATATACATAATATTTGCTGCAGGGCCGTGAGCTCTTTTTCTAGCAAACTCTCTGCTGAGAGATTTTCAACCGACTCATCGGCCCACATTTTTTGCATCCACTTTCCATGGTCTGTGATTTTTTTACACCATCATTCCCTTCTATTTCGCACAAAAAGCAATCAAAGCTTCTTATAAAGTTGGAAGTAAAGTAAATTTGACGTAACTAAAAACAATTGAATTATAAAATTTATTGCACGTTTCGCAATAAAGAAGAAGTAATTTGTAGCATTTCCTGATTAATTTTTAACAAACAATGCGGTCATCTTTTTTTACTTCCTTTCTATTTTAAACCTGACGAAATAATTTTTACAAGGATTTTTCTACCAAAAGATTTAAAGCTGTAAATTTAATTTTGGCAAAAATATAACTCATATGGAGGGTGGGGTTTTCTCAATCCCTGAAATTTTAGCAAGAATTAATAATTTTTATTCTTTTAATGTAAAATTCTTGTTATTTTGAAAGCTTAATAAAAAATTAATAAAATTCTCCAAATCGTCGGCTACGCGGACAAATGGCCATTCTGGGGTGGCGCCCCTACCGTCTATTGCATGGAACTAAATAGGATGAAGTGGAGGGGATAGTGGCCATTTGGCCACGTAGCCGACGAAATACATTATTAATATTCTTTAAATATTCAATTTTGATTTGATTTCAACTAAATTTATGATCATTGGAAAAATAATGTCGTAAAATTTTCCTTTTTTTTCTTTGGTGAAAAGATTATGTGAAACATTTCTAAAGTTTGTAAATAAATAATTTTATGCAGCAAAAAATAATAATTATACAAAAAGTTAATTGCTGGAAGGTCGATTACCTCTGCACAATGGAAGGGGCTAATAACGCGTGGGATATAATAATTAGCCAGATGAAAAGAAAAATCTCATATATTCTAAAAAGGGCATATTTTGCGGTTGCGAGAGATAAATCAACAGTCCGGATCGCACAATGGAGGCACCGGACCGGCTAATCAATGTTACAAGCGGCGAGTTTAAAGACAAAGGCTGCCTCTTATTATATAATGGTAAACACGCGGAGCAGAAATGGAGAGAGAGAGAAAGATAGCTCAGCGTTGAATGAGGTTATGTCATAGCAATGAGTGAAAGTTTTCTCTCGGCTCGCCGTGTTACCTCACATTAGCTCGCAGACCTGACCGCCTGTGTGTATTTTTTTATTATCGGAATCCAAGCATCAGTTAACAAGTCTGATGCAAAAGTCTTTATTTCTCGATGCAAAAGTCTTTATTTCTCGATACAAAAATTCGTGTCGCCATTTTTATCGCGAAATTTCGATTCTCATGCTCTTTTATTTTTTGTAAAATATGCTTTCGAACGAATTCGGCAAGGTCAGCAGAAGCGCTGGACCGGCGACGACTCGAACCTTCAAAATCAGGAAATGAAAGTTTCGCCGTCAATTAAAAGAGGTCGGGAGTACGGCACACCGGGATTTTGTAACGTTCGACTTCGGGTGTGGATCGACAGGTTTTTTATTTGCATTTCCACGACATTTAATTAATGATCGGTTAGAATTTTCTGTTTGGCGATTTCACACAGAAGGAAATTGTCTGTCTATTTTATGTATAGGATTTTATTTGTAAAATTTTCCTTTAATTTTTATAATGGAACTTGGTAAAAATTGTCCGAAAATTAGGCTTCCGTGCTTTTTTGAAATATTAAATTATTAATCAAAAATATTGGTTTCAAACAACTTTAAACAATTTAACCATTTTTTATAATCCCCTTTAAAGCAACCATAAAGCTGACTAAATTTTGCACAAGCTCGTTAATTATTCCTTTTGATTAGCATCTTTTTTTACTAATTATTATGAATTTGCAATAACAGCGTGAAGTGAATTACCCAATCGATTGCAAATTCAGTTCTCAAATTTCTGCGAATTCCAAAATAAGCCTTTTTGCAAAGTGCGCGCAATAATTACATAAAAAACTATGAAAATGAAAGTTCTAGATTGATTTAAAATCACGAAATTGGATCAATATTAATTTATTCTTCATTATGTAATAATCATGGTTCGAGCAGTTTCTCGGCAAATGATGCAGAACATATAACACGCGACTAAATTTGATACACCTTTGAACATTTAAAGTACATCGTGTGCTGTACCAATAAGAATCAAAAGACTGTATTTAATTGTATATTTTATTTGAAGTGTAGCACATAATTTTTTTTAATACAAAATCCAATCTTCTCGGAGCCCAAATCAATTTTCCAATAATTAATTTTTATTTTTCTTTTCATTAATTTCATTCTCGAACTTGTAAATTTTTGTATAAAATATCCATAACTTCAACAAAAAAAGTTAATTTTAGAGAAAAACAATTTATTTTTCATTTTTCTTCCGAGTAAATAAATACTTTTGTGACATTGACGACGCGATATTCAAAACACCCTCGTCGGCGAACTTTTTGGAGATACCTTTAAAGTGTGTTTGACATTTCTGTAGCAAAAGTGATGTTGGGTGTTTTGCAAACTTCATTTATATGGCAGAGTGGTTGATTAAAACTCGGGCAGCAGGTTCAGGGCAAATTAAACTGGCAGGGGCCAAAAACGAGTATAATATTCCGTCTGACAGCCACTCTGTGTTATTATTATTTCGAGGCTAAAAGAGCAGAGAACGCCGCCGCCGCCGGCAGCTTATGGGATTTGCGTCACTTTTTTGCATGTTGGGAAACCCCGCAGATGAGAAAAGTTGAGCTCGCGAAAACCAGTAGTTTTTTTTCACTCTTGCCATTATTTTTTATCCGGATGTAATACAAAGTGGAAGAGAACAATGGAAGCAATAAAAATATATAATTTTAGTATCAAAAAATAGGGATTTTGATCTTTAAAGATTGGGATTTTAATAAAATGATTCACCAATTTCCAATTAATATTTTTCGTCAAAATTTTTCATTTTATGAAAAAAGAAAAGGATTTTTATTGTTTTATTTGATGATGAGAAAATCATTTTTTGTTAAAAAAGCGGATTTTTAAGCTCGAATTTTATTTAATAAATTTCAAATCTAAAATATATTGAAATAGTTAACAGGATTTAATTATGAAATTTAAATAATTATACTCTAAATTATCAATCAAATCGATTTTTCACCCATCTATAGTTAAGAAACAAAGCAAAAAACCAAATATGTTAGTTTTTTTCCTCTCTTAAATGATTGAAATTGCAGTTCAAACACGAATAATGTGCCTTTAACCGTTTTGTCAAGGATTTTTTCTTATATTCCGTGAACACGCGTGTCAGGAATTAAGAGGCTCCTCATTATGAAGTCATTAGAAACTATTTTGACTGACGTGCGTGTGTTTAATTATATTCCAAGATTGCCAGTCACAAATGCATATTGGGAAAGTAGAAGAGGATGACAAATATTGAAAAAGCAATAACAGAAAAGAAGTAGTGACGGCGGAGGTTGACAATTAAAACTAGTGACGTCTGTTACTTTTGTTTGTTTGCGTCGATGTGCAAGGTCATTGAATTTTCTAATGTTCGCGATTCTTATTAATTAAAGTGGCAATTATAAATAATAATAGAAAAAAATAAAATACAAATTTTTACAACAAATTTTAAAGGAATTTCAATTTAATAAAAAAATGTTTTGAATAATGAAATTTTAAAAAAATTTATTTTTGTTCTCTTTATTCACTGCAATTATAAAACTATCTTGCCAAATGAATTTTTTTTCTTAATTCACCATGCAGAGGCTGTTACTTCAGTGCCCAACGTTCTCTTTACAAATGCAAGCCTTGTGCTCGTAAAGCATCAAGATACCGGAGTTAATTGTTGAATTTTTTTATCAAACAAGACAAAAAAAAATAACAAGGCTTCGGTTGCTACAGAGCGTGTCAGGGGAATTCTGCTGCTTTTTAATTAAGGCGCAATCAACTAAATCTATTGCATTTAAATTAAATATAAACAAACATCTATTGGAAATTAAAGCTGAAATTTTATAGATTGACCAATTCTAATCAGTTCTATCGTTTTAAATTGTGAATCGTATGATAAATTTACTCATTTATATTGTGTGATCTTCATTAATATTCAAATATAGGAAAAACTAGTATAGTTGAATTTTACTTTTGTGTTCATGAAATCGGAGATGACAGATGACCTAAATATGAATTCTACGGAAAAATTTAAACAAATTAGAATACATTGTGTTAGCTAATAAGGTTTATTTCTGTATAATTGAGAAAATATTTTACGGAAAAATTTAAACAAATTAGAATACATTGTGTTAGCTAATAAGGTTTATTTCTGTATAATTGAGAAAATATTTTATATTTAATTTAATACTTGTACTTTCTGCATCATTTTATTTTTAATGTTGATAATTGTAAAATTAATTGTGTTGATTTTCATCATTTTTTATTAGAAAACCAATTTGCTTTTTTTTTAAAGTAAATAAAATAGAAAAAAAATATTTTTGCAACTTAAACAATCTTTAAACCTACAAAAGTTATTTAAAATTATTCATAAAAACTCCTCTTAGTCTTTGAAAAATTACACTAATGAGGTAATATTGATATAAGATTCTACCTTGTTTCTTGTTTTCTGTTCAGAAAAAAATATATAGAAGTAAAAATAGATTTAATTACACGACGAAGGAAATGCAGTTGTTACTGACAAAGGTCAGAAGCACCGACGTTTTTCCATTAACAAGGCTCTGGAATATTCCACGCGGTTGAAGGTGGTTTACAAGTTGAACTCCCTCGGTCTATATTTATAATTCCTCTCCGTGGTTTTATAGTTTTTATGCAAAAGAAGATTATTATAATGTGAGGATATAAAAAAAGATCAAATAGCCTTGATTTCGGGTTCATTCACTCCTGTTTCGTCTTGTTTAATTATAATAATAAATGCGTTTTTTCATTTGATTCAATTATTATTTCCTTTCAAATTTCAGATTGGTTTGATGCGTGGTGGCCGATTGCTGGCCGAGCAGTCGCCGGACAATATGCTGATCAATTTCGGCTGTGATAGCCTGGAAGAAGTTTTCCTCAAGTTGAGCCGAGAGCAAACGAAGAACCAGCAAAATTCCATCGAGGCCGCCAGCTCGGCCCACTCAGTCCCAATTGCTGTGAGTTTGTGTTTTTCTAGATCAATCGGAAAATAAGTATTTTAACATTCTGAATTTCCCCAGGGTGGTCCGATGGAGGCGTCGGTCGATCCAGTAGTCGAAAATAAAGAAGTGGTAAAATAATGCACAAAATAAATGAGGAAAAAAATTGTATTGGTGATTTTTTTTAGTCCCCACAGGAGGAGGAAGACTTCACGTACAAACAAGATGAGAGTCCCCAGTCCAGTTGGAAAAAGAATTTGAAATTGTCTTCGGCCAACATCTTTAAAGCACTTCTGTGGAAAAATTTCATGTGGTTCTGGAGAAATCCTGGGTGAGTCTCATTTTTTTTACTAAAATTTTAGAAATTAGTGTTTTGAAAATCTTTCAATCAGTTTTTAAGCAAATTCAGTAGGTTTAAATAAAAATAAATGAATTAAAATAAACTATTGACTGAAAATTACAGTTATTTCCTTTCCAAATTCAAATTTTAGTAAGATTTTGTTTAAATCATATTGCGATTCTGTCCCAAAATATTCCGGATTTTGTTAATTTTAGATTTGACTTTGCTTTCCTTGTCTTTATTGCATCATTGAATTTAAACCTTCCATTTTCAAATAAGTAATTTTATCCTAGAAAAAATCATTGCACATAGGCGAATGAGTAATATTTCATTATTTTATATGTGATTGAGTGGTTGGTACTGGATAGCCTTGGAAATTTTTCTCCATCGCACACCACGTCAAGGGGAAAATTATCAAGGCGGCGTCGCAATTAACTTCTTCTCATTGGTGCTCATCTGACATTTCTCACCGCAAGAGTTTTATATAAACGCGGATTTCTGCAGTTATTACGAGCACGAGTCACGCAGATGCTGTGACGCATTGCTTCCATTATTTTCATTTCAAGATCTTGTCATCTTTTCCGAGGTTGACTTTTTTTCTTCAGTATTAAAGATCCACGCCTGCAAATTTTTTAATGCAAGCATTTTATCATAAATTTTAGTTTCCATTCATGATTTATTGCAATATTTAAAGACCCAGAACCGCAAAATTTTTTATCTTTACTTCTTCAAATTTAAAAAAATTTAATGAACAACGTTGAAATTGCTATTAAAATTAGCACCCTTAAGTTTCTCTAACTACAAGTTTATCCGAAGTTGACCTATTCCCGCCAGATAAATTTGAACCTCAAGGGAAGTTAGTCCTGAATGAAAAATCACTATTTATTCAAAATGTTTTGCTTTTTAACATAAATGTTGACTCTCCTATGGATTTTACGTTTTTTTGCGGGAAAAGAATATAATTTTAGGAATAAAAATTAAAAGAATTTATACCCCCAGCTTGGGGTTTTTAAAGATTACAAGTGCTTTCTGCTTTTTTCTAATCTTGGTCCTTTAATAGCCTCTCTGAAATGGGCCTTTTGAAAAATTTGCATTTTAATTTCACGCATCAGAGGAGTCTAGTTTAAAAGCTAATAGAAGCCTGGCAACTTAATTCGTCCGTTTCGCTCTCCGAGAAGAGTTATTATGTCACAAGAGTAACACAAGTACAAACTTTAATAATCGCCGGCGGCTGCCGAGCGCAATTACCACAAACCCTTCAACGGCCAGAGTAGAGAAGTCGCATTATTTTCCATCCTTTGAGCGCCGAAATGAGAAAATGATTTTCCTCTCTTTGCTATGAAGTAAAATGCCGGAGAGTGAAGAAGACCTATTTGCAGCGAATAAATGTCAATTTACTTTGAAGTGCTGCATTAAATTGACGCGCATCAAAAGCATCCATCCACCCTTTGACAAATTTATACAAAGTGCTTTTGATTACAAAAAAGAGGCGCAAAAAAAAAAGAGGGAATCTTTCAAAGTAATATTTGCGTAAAAAAATCCAAAATTTAAAAACAATAATTATGAACGTCAAAAATGAAACGGCAGTAATTTCTTTAGTTAAAAGTCAATTACTGTAACTTATTATCAAAATTTTTCAAATTATTGACAGTTAATTAAATTTAAATGATTTTTATCAGGCCGTTTTTTTTAAATGTAACAAAAAATTATTCAAATTTTCATAAAATTTAGTATTTGAGTTGAAAAATAAAATTCATAAAATCAAAATGAATCAAGAAATTGTTGTTTTAACTTGAAACTATTATTGTAATTATTTTCATAAATATTTAAACCAACAATAAATTGCTTTTTACAATAAATTTTTTACCTTTTCTGATGAAAAATGCTTTACAGGGAAATACCAAATTAGCTTTTAGCCGGCTGAGCCCATATTGTGCGTTTTTAAAATCCTTTTTATCCATTGTCCTTTGCAATATAGTCGTGCACGCACCTGACATACGCAGCATTTATTTATATTTTTGCATCGGGTCGCGCGCTCAAGGTGAGCAGGTGGTGAGAAACACGATTTCTCTAGCGGCGAGTAATTGCAGCGCGCCACAGTAAAAAAGGATAATAATAATTGAGCCGGTTAACCTGCACGCGTCTCGGTGACACATATATTTGCTGCTGAAAATTCCCCATAGAGAAGATAGAGGCCATTGGGCAATGCACTCTTATTAAAGCTGCATATTGCATGTCCGTAAACACATTTGATCCGATTTCCTGAAAACGAATTACAAATTGCCGAGGAAACAGATTGCATTAGAAAATAATTATATAACAAAATTAACATTTGCATCAAGATTCCTAAAATCGATGCTTTTTTTTCCTATTTAATCTTCATTTAAAACTGTTTTTCATCTGTAATTTTGATTTTTTTTTAGTGAAATTTGAAGCCGACTCTTAAATGTCTTTAATGTTTTTAATTTAAAGTTTTTATCAAAATTGGTGCAGTAAATGATTAAAAATTTAATAAAGTCCTGTCGATGCAACCTGCATTACTTGTAAGTCTGACCGGTTGCCTAACTTTGAAATTTTGTTGACAGAATCATCCTGTTTGTGGTCGGCCTGCCGATTATCCAAGTGGTCTTGTTCTGCACGGCCGTCGGCAGAGACCCGGCCGGTCTCACGCTGGCCGTCGTCAACCACGACCAGGCGATGGGAATGCCCTGCCCGAAGGACCTCAGCGGATGCAACCTGACGCACATGGCCTGTCGGTATTTGGACCATTTAGGAGAATTTCCAGTTGTTCAAGTACGGCGCTTATATCTATTTTAATTAATGTTTTAATTAAATAAATTTCTCTGAATTTTAATTCTCGTATTCAAATTAAGTAAAAATAAATAGTATTTTTTTAGTTTATTATTTTATTTAGTTTTGGCCAAATTATTTTCATATTTTTGAATTTTCCAGGAGTTGTTCCCAGACGTAGAAAGTGCTCAGGAGGCCGTGAGAAAAGGTCACGCGTGGGGTGCCCTTTACTTTACTGACAACTACACGGACGCCCTGGTTGCCAGGGCGGCCCTGTGGAAAGACGCCGACAACGAGACCCTGGACCAGAGCGAAATGCGAGTTTGGCTCGATTTATCAAGTAAACAATCATTTATTCAAGTCCAAAGAGTTTTGATTATTTCGACAAAATCATCATTTTTAGACAAACACATCGGTTTGATGCTTCAGCGATATCTTCACCAGTCGTACACGTCCTTCATGAAGGACCTCTTGACCGCCTGCAATGAAAACACCGAACTGGTCGAAGTCCCTGTCAAAGTAAAACAAATTAAATAAATTAAACTTTTGATCTAATAAATTGTTTTGATAGTTTTTGAAGCCAATTTATGGACCGGCAGTTCCAAATTTCACGGATTTTGCTGCTCCAGGAGTTATGCTCACGTAAGAATTTTTAATTTTACTTCAAAAAATTTTTGAATATTGCGAAATTATTAATTTATTTTTAAAAAAGAGTCTTTTTATGAAGATTTTCTAACATACAAAATCAAATTAGTTCGTAAAAATTGTAACTAACAAAAATCATAATAAACCATCAGATTTTTATATAATTAAATGGCAAATTTGTTTATCTTCAAGAGTGATACAATTATTATTCTCAAAATTCAAAATTTTATCATTCAAATCCAATGAGTTTTTGGACAAAAATTGACTTTCAAATTTTCGTTCATCAAATATTTTAGGGAAACTTTAAAAATTAATACGTCAATTCTTGTCCAAAAACGATTTTCTCAAAAACTTTTTAATTTTGATAAGATTTTACTGAACTTTTATAACATTTATTTTTAAATTTTTTTTATTGAATTTTTTGAATTTTTTCACTTGAAAAGCGCAAGATATTCTTTTCTATTTTGGTATTGTGGTCAAACTCCACGCGATATTGTATCAGTTTTTGTAGCTTCTCGGAACATAGCTATTGTATAATGGAACAGTTGCAACCCTCTCCCGAATCTCCAGGGGTCCATTTTTAGCGCAAAAAAGACCCTCGAGCCTGTATCATTTTATTTTTGCAGCATCATTTTCTTCTTGGCCGTAGCCCTGATGTCTGGGGCCATGATTATTGAGCGGGTCGAGGGATTATTGGAGCGCAGCCTCGTGTGCGGTGAGTCCTGCTGATATTTTATATTTTCCATTTAATTTTACGCAATCAAATTCGCAGGAATCACGCCGCTCGAGATTTTGGCCTCTCACGTGGTGACCCAGTTCGTGGTGATGACGGTCCAGTGCGGCCTGGTCATTTTGTTCACGTTGACCATTTTCAAAATCACGTGCGAGGGACCCATTTACCTGGTCGCCATCATGCTCCTCCTCCAGGGACTCTGCGGCATGTGCTTCGGTACAATTTCAATTTTAATTAAAAATTATCTATTAATTAAAATTAAAATTTTTAGGCATGGTGATTTCCTGCTTGTGTGAAAATGAAAGAACGGCCACCTATTTGGGCCTCGGAAGTTTCCTTCCTATTGTGATGCTCTGTGGTAAGTTTTTTTTTATAAAAAAATTTAGCATAATTTAGAGAAGATAAAAACCATTCAAATTAATATTAAAGATCCTCTGCGGTCATTTGTATTGTTCTCGATTCTAAAAGATTGCTAAATTTTGAGTAAATCTTACGAAAACCCTCTGTGAAAATTCCAAACCGTTGCGTCGCAATCAAAAGAAAACCTAAATACCGAAACATGTGGATCCATCAGTTTTGTAAAAAAAAAAACGCAGGATTTGATTACATTGGCGCTGTGATCGCTGATTTTGCCACTCGTGCCCCTTGGCGCTGCGCAGAAAACTTTGCAAAATTAGCGATCGCAGCGCCAATGTGACCAAATTCGGTAGTTTTTGGAACAAACTGATGGATCTGATTGGCTGCTCAATTCTCACACATTTTTCGCGCGAATCACTCGTATTTAGGTTAATTTTTGACTGAGACGCAACGGTTTGGAATTTTTAAATAGTGTTTTCGCAAAATATACTCGAAATTTAGCAATCTTTCAGAATAGAGAGCAATACAAATGACCGGAGAGGATCTTTAATATTTTAGTGTTTTAATTATTTTACTTTTTCATTCTAAAAACTGTTTATTCGGACTTTTTTATTTGCTGTATAATTAATTAATTTTTACCATAATTCATATTTTGTCAAAATCGTTTATTTCCCTTCAGTTTTGATCCTCTTTTCTTTGGCTGTGTATTTAGAACTTTAACAGACTTTGCGATCAAATTTAATAATTTTGCCCCATTTTTATTTTAAATTGTCACATTTGAATTTCTTTTTAAATTGCATACATTAAAAAAAACTAATCAGTCTAATCACCAGCAATGAGCCTGAGTTGACTTAGTTGTCATCCTTTTTTGATTTTATTGTTTCAATTTAGGTCAATTGATCATTTTTTTGCGTGAATTTCCTAAATTTCCTTGTTTTATTTTTGTCCTTCGTATGTTTAAATTTCCATGCAATTTTTAATTAATTGTTTGTAGTGTTTTTTTTTAGAACTTTTAGTATTTTTTTGTTTTTAAATCCTTTCTTTTTAAATTTGATAAAAACATAGATAATTATATTTTGATTTATTTTATTTTTCTTCATTTTTAAAAACAATTAAAATATACTAAATCTTGTTAACTTGAAACTATTTTATTCTAAATAAATTTCTTCAGTGATTAATAAAAATTTGTAGTTCTATGAATTTATTAAGAACATAAATCTCATAATTTTTCATTCTAATATTTGCAATTAATTTTTTACAGGAATTATCTGGCCGGTTGAGGGAATGAATTACTACCTGCGCACCATGAGTTCCATCTTGCCCCTGACCTACCCGACCGAATCGATGAGGAGCATCTTGGCCAGAGGCTGGACCATGGAGCAGCCCGTGGTTTACCATGGCTTTATCACCATCCTCGTGTGGGTGCTCGTGTTTTCCTCGGCCAGCGTCATCATCCTCAAGTTCCGCAAAGGATAGAATTACGCTGAATTTATACACAAAGCAGTCTTTTGCAAAAGGGGAAAGTTCAGAAAGAATTGTCTGCTGTAAATAACTTTTGGAAACAAAAATAAGCTCAACCGCGACGATCCCCAGCAGCGAGTCAAAGTAAAAATGGATATATATTTTAATTTCAAAGCAGATAAATAAATTTAGTGGATTTTTTTACAGGGTTTTATTGTATATAAAAGTATTATTTAACAAAAATAGGGTAATATTATGTGGCGTATAATTATTCAAATCCACCTCTACCAGTGCCTTAAATTTGTAATTTAATAACTTAAAAATTTTATATTATAATAAATAATTAAAAAATAAAATACACCTTAAGTTTTATTTCTAATTCTAAAATTAGTTTTATTTTAAATAAATAAACTTTTGCTGCGAAAACTTTTTATCCGAAAATTCTCATATATTATTTTACGACGATTTTCCATCCAGTTTTAGATTGAAGTGACGGGATAAAAACGCAATCCTCGTCCTTCCAATCCATCTGACGCATCGCAAAGTTTTGTTGGAAACAAAAACGAGCCAATTTGCATATGACAAGCGAGGGAGATAAGCAGACGAAGCTGAGCCGAGAGCGAAATTCGTTGAAAGTTTCGACGGGGCGCGTGTGAAGCTGAAGCTCCGTCAGCTCCGACGTGTAATTTTCCTGCTCTTGTCTCTCAAATTCTATATCAGTTATTGAGGAAAATAATTTCTGCTTCATATTACAATATTCTGAGAAAATCATGTTCCATTTTTGAAGAAATAGTAAAGAAAAAAAAATTAAACAGGTGGTTTAAATCCGATAATTGAAATTACTTACAAGTGTTTAAATTATTGAAGCTAAGGTTATGTTTTATGATTATATGAGATTTCTATCTGAAGTGTTAATTTTAAGAAACAAAATAATTAGAAAGTGTTTTTAAAATTTAAAATATATTTTTGTTTAAGCTTTTCATCATCATTTCTCAGGTGAACTGAATGAAAAATTGCAGATTTCTAATATTAAAAAAAAACAGCCCTCTATCAAAATTTTGAGGTACTCTCAACTATGAAGTCAAAAGTTTGTATTAAAATCAACAAAAATTGCTTTAATTTAAGAAGATAAATAAAATATGATCAAATACAATCAAATTATTAAATTAATCAATTCAAGGCACAAAATATGAAAATTAAAAAAAAAATTAGTATTTTATAAAAACCATTATTGTAAACACTTAAATTGATAAAATAAAATATCATTTGTATCAAAACTTAATTTACTTAACTTCAAGTAAGTAAAAAATTACTTTTGACTAATCAAGAAAAACTATAAGAAAAGTAATTGATTTTAAAAACCTTTTCAGTTAAGACTTTATTTTTTAATTTTTTTTAGGAATCTAAACTTTGTAACATAATAAATGTCAACGAAGAAACAAAAACCGAATGCAGACTCTTGGCTGGATGATACGAAAGGCCAGGCGCGCGTCGACAGCCCTTTCTTTTCTTTCTCGTTCTCACTCGCGGCCGTAAATCTGTGACGCAAGTACTCTCCACCGTAATACTTAAACGGTGGAAAAGGGGCATTTCAGAGGTGAGAGTGGCGTGCATTATTTACAGGCCGCCGCTTTGTTTAAAACTCGACTCACGCCGACCGCCCCAAAAGCTAGCGCGGTGGAAATAACCAAAATCGCCACTAAAACGCGCTTTACGACTTTCGGAGCAGCTATTTCCGAAGAAGTCAAAAGAGCAGTTTTGCACTGGATTTATTAAATTTTAGTAAGAAACAGTTTGCCACACCAAGAAGGAAAAAAACTGATTAAATTGAGATAGCTGTGAAATGAATCCCCAGCATTAGTATAAAAAATTCTCCCAACTTCCGGCAACTCGCCCTCTCGGTCTTTCCGTTGACCTTTTTGACAATCGCACCACATGCTGCCTCTCACAATCAATCCAGCTCAATCAAACGCAAAAGCCACAGAGGAAGCAGATAAACAGATGAATTTTTTTTTGTTAAACTGAAAATAATTCTTAACGATTTTTACGCTCCTCAAACTTTGCAAACAGCTCTTCATAAATAAAATCAATATAATCCAACTCTTAGTGATTTATGTAAATTATAAAACATATGCTTTAAATATTTAATATTTTCGTTTCTTGTCATTTTTATATGGATGAGCATTGTTGCCCTCATTCTGAACCCAATAAACATTTCACGAAACCAAAAAGTCTGCAAATTAGCAATCGGGCAATAATTATTTGGTTTGAACCGATCAATTTTTTTTTATCGGAACTCAGTAATAACCATTCATTTTTTAAATTTCACTTTATGCATGCCATTAGCCATCAAATAAAACGGTGAAAAAAAATTAATTTTATTCTCATTAAATTTCTTTGACAGAACCATTGAAAAAAGTGAGTACAACAATTTAAGCGGCAAAAAATAAAAATTGAAACTTGACAATTTACATCTAAATATACTTTATATGTTGTTAAAAACTGAAAATAATTGTGGGTTTTGGTCAAGCGCTTCTTTATTTTGAAAAGAATGAGTTACAAAATAAAATAAAAATTAAAGAAACATTAATATTTTTCCAAAGAAGGACAAAAGTGCGATATTTATAAAATTCAAATTATACAGAAATATACAGAAATAATGTTTTTCTGTTTGAAAAGGAAAATTAGTTTTAAAACTTATAAGAGTTGTTTGAAGCTTCTTCTATAGGAGATGTAGTGATGGAATCAAAAATTTTAGCACTGGACTGTAAATAATTCCTGCTTCTTGCATTTGCACTGATTGTAGTACTCCTGTACCACACCCTGACTGTATATGTTGAAAACTGCAAAAACGTAAGAATTACTTATAAATTTTACACGGTTAAATGATTATTTTGAGGCTAGGACAATAATTATATATATTTTTTCCATAAAATAGTTCAATTCAATTCATTTATTCTCTCACAACAGGTCAAATATTATTTTGGGGGAAAAATTACATTGAAGAGAGAATTGGCAGCCAGCCCTAGTAAACAACTTACTAAAACTCATAAACTCAATTTGAAAGCAAAAGTGTTTCCAAATTAAATCTACTTGCCGAGCTGGAGCCGAAAAGGGGAAATTTTAAACAACAGTCCTTACATGCAATTTAAAACTGAGAAACCGTACAATTTTCCCATTTTAACAGTTATTATTTTTACATCGAAATTTCCAGTTTGGCTGTTTCTTAAGTTGCAAATTTTGAGGATAATATTCCCTAAAATAAGTTAATCCTAGTAGAAATGTTAAGTTTGTTGTTTACTCAAATAGATTTAAAATGTATCAGTCAAGTTATTTATTTAATTATTTTTTTTATCTATAGATTACACTACATCTGGTTTTTAATGATTAATATTAATTATCCCCAGCACTAAAAAATTGGTTCAAAAATTTATCTCATATTATTTTCGTGTGTAGTTAATTTGAAAGAAAACTGAATTAAAATTTGATCTGGCGGTGAGGATAATTATTATTTCCGGAAATTTCGAAGGTAATTTTTACAATTTATATTTGATAGCTGATCTTTTTTAGAGTCAGGCCAAGACAATTTGGAATTCACAATTATTGAGAAGCTAAATTCTTATTATTCCTTTTTAGCTTTTGAAGGAAGTTTTTCTTTCAAACTGAAATTTGAAAAATAAATCCAGATCGCAGCTCGAGAAGCACGTACATTTCTAAAAGAAAAAAAAATCATGCTCGCCGCTACTGGCCTTCGAAAATATTTGAAAAATTATATATCTGGATTAACTTCACTTATCCCAGTCGTGATGATAATAAGAACAAGGAAATCCCTGTTTTATAATTTATGGATTCAAAACGGACAAAGCTCTTTACAGAATGAAATGAAATATTTTTATGGAAATCAAACAAGTGTTAGTGGAAAGTGTTTTTTCTGTATGAAACTTCGGCCTGGAGCCACAATTATTGTCATGCTTATTTAAATTAAATTTGATACACACCAAAGCCGACGGTGACAAAGGAGGCGTAGAAGAAAAGAGACACTCCGCTGAATTTGATTACGTTCGTGGGAAAGTAGAGGAAGGCGCAGAAAGCAACTCGAATCCATATCCAATTGACAATGATCCAAGACAACACAAAACGGGTGTTATCCTTGAATTCAAATAAAAATTTTAATATTGGTCTAACAATTTAAATTCTAATTATTACTTTCAAAACTCCAATGATGAGCAGAGAGGGAAAGAGCAGGCGCAAACCACTGATAAATGTGGATGGCAATAATAAAAAGCCCCAATTGAAATGGGGTGAATCGACATCTAAAATATCTAAATATTATTCAAATTAAAAATTTTCAAAGAAATACTACAAACTTAACTATCTACTGAAGCGTAACTGAAGACAAGTCCAAAACCAAAGAGAACTTGTAGAACCGAAATCTGTCGTGGACAACAAAATTTAATTTTGAAATTAAAATTTTTTAATTTTTTTTAATTTACCAATTCGACAATTCCAACCAAAATAACAGCCTGGGCTGCGTTGAGGCGGAAGAAATACTTCTTTTGGTCCATCTTGGAGGCAACGTCTGCAGATGCTGAAGGCTAAGTCTCGAATGGAGCGTCACCGGATAAAGATATATTCAGATAAATAAAATGGGGGGCGGAGGGTTTTTTTTATCAAGCTAACAATTAGATGAAGATTTTTTATAAGAGAATCCATTAGCGTTTTTAATTTGAAGCCAAATTTTCCACAAAATATAGAAAAAAGGGTTGGAATTTATTTTTACGATTCATCAATAGTTTGCACATTAGGAGAGGCAGGAGAGTGGTGCAAATAATAAATTTTCGACACTTTACAACTATTCATCTATTTATTCTATAAATTTTATTTTTTTTTTAAATTTGAAAAATAATTTAAAAATAAAAACAAATTTAATATTTATGTTGTAGGAACAAAAAAAAAACGCATGAACAAGAGAAGATCTTCACTGAATATATACACATTTGAATTTTAAGGTTTGCATCTCAAGAAATAAAAATCTGTTTATTTGGTACATTATTTTATTTAGAAAATTACAGATAGAGGTTGCAAAAATAAGTGCATTATTAAAAATTGATTTTTGGATATAACCAAAGAAGAACAAAAATGCCAAGATTTGAACACCAATTTCATCAATTAAGCTTGAACCAATATTTTCAATTCGATCAAGATTTTTCTTCATTATATATATTGAAAAAAAGCTGAATGTAATAGTGAGGAGGTTTGAATCAAAATTTTTTGAACTGGACTGTAGATATTTCGGCGTCTGGACATCGTACTCGTAAACCACATGCAGACTGTAAATGTCGAAGGCTGCGAAACAAATTGTAAATTACACACGTAAAATTTCGATTTTTTGTCGAACATAAGCGACTGTTTAATGGTCACAATTTGTAATAGCTTATTATAATTATCAAATATTGATACAGGCAAATAAATGTTACTTTTCTTCAAATTTGATGATTCTTAAATCGTTGTTTTTTTTTAAACTTATAAACATTTTTCCTCCTCCAATGAATAGATTTGAAAAGTATTTTTCACTTTCCCTAAATAAAGAGCAAGAAAATAAATTTCTAGCATTTCTGCCCTTAAATTATAGAATACAGAGGCGTTGTCTTAATAAAAAAGGTTTTTTTACTATTCACCGAAGTTGGATGAGATTATTTTTTTAGATTTTTTACTTCACACAAGAGCGTTGGCAAAGTTTCTATTAAAATTTGATCGCAGCTTGAGAAATGCAAAAAATCTTCGCCCTTCTCTGGCCTACAAAAAAGCATTGCTGCGCAGCATGGGATGTATTTTATCTGAAATTACGTCACATTTCCTGGTCGTACTGATGATAAGAAAATGGGAAAACCAGGTTCAGATCTATAATGGGTCCAGACACAACAAGCGTCTCTATCTCTTTTCCGAAATGAGAAAAAAAAATTGATTTATTAAATTGTAACAAGAAACAATTAAATTGAAAATTCTTCAACTTTTTTATTAATTAAAAAAAAAATAATATTTTTAATACTCACTATATCCGAGGGTGACGAAGGAAAAGTAGAAGAAAGATCCTCACGGTGTTCATAGAACTTTCGACACATACAAGTTAAGTGTTTTTTTATTACATGGCAGTCGGCCCAAAGAAATATTATTTAAGATCTCCTAAGATTCCAAACTTACTTCCATACTTTATAAATTTTATAATAACTGCCATACCAAAATGAAAACTAATTTGCAAAATTGAATACAATTCTAATGAAAAACTAATTAATCCTTTCTGTCAATTTCAAAAGAAGACAGGTGAAGATTTGCAAGATCTCAAATACACAGAGTTAATCATTTCCAAATTTTCAAAAAAAAAAAAAATTTATATAAATAAGTGCGGGGTTTGTTAGAAAAGAATACATAATAAAACAGAATTAATTATTTCTAAATTTTTTTAAAAATTTACCATTTTGGATATAAAAAATAAAAAAAAACAATCTGAATCTAGGCACTGAATTTATATTAAAATTCTACATTTTTTCCTACTTTGCATAATTATTGATTATTTGTAGGGATTAATACAACGAGATGCATTTAATTGATTTAAAGGAGAAATTTGTTGAAAGCTTGAAATGGCTCGTAATCAAAATTTGTGGAACTGGATTGCAGCTTTCTCGGCGTCTGGATTGGAAAATTCCTGCTTTTTGCTCTGGTTGCGAAAATCGTTGACCACATGCAGACTGTAAATGGCAAAGGCTGCGGAAAAAAATCATAAATTTGGAATTATTCTGCCTCAGGAAGAGTGTCAATTTTAAATTATATTTTAAATTATACAACAAAACAGTTTTATTTGTATTTTTTTTTTTTTTAATTCGTATTGAAAGTTTAGGCTGGATCCACAACAATAGTGTATACAAAATTTAGATTCTCACCATATCCAAGGGTAACGTAGGAGAAGTAGAAGAAAAGAACCACAATGTTGAATGTGAGGAGGTACATAGGGATGTAGAGGAAAATGCCGAAAATAACTCGAATCCAGCTGACGATGACCCAAGGCAACGTGAAAAGAGTGTTCTCCTAAAATAATTGATTTTAATTTTTTTTTTTAAATTGGTAAATGCAATTTATTATACTTTCAAAACTCCGACGATGAGCAAAGAGGGGAAGAGCGTTTGGAAACCACAGAAAAGTATGGATGGCAAGAATAAACCGCGTCTAAAGTCAGATTGGAAATCGATCAGAGCTTAAAATAGAAAAAAAAATTAGTCCATTTTAATTTGTATGTAATTAAATATTTATACTTTCCGCATCTTCCTTTTTAAAGACCAGGCCTAGTACCATTGGTTTAACTTCACCCCCATCTAATTATTTTTTAGATTTAATAAATTTTAAAGATATTAGAAAACAATTACAAATCTAACCAAATGAAATGAAACCGAGAACAAGTCCGAGACCAAGAAACGCTTGGAGAATCGAAATCTATGTACAAGAAAATTAGGCATTTTAATTAAAAATAATTGATTAATATTTTTGATACTTTTATACCATTTCGAAAATTCCGACCAAAATTACAGCTTGGGCTGCGTTGAGGCGGAAGAAAAAGTACTTGTTGTCCATCTTGGAGGGAAAAGCGACGACTGCAGATGCTAAGTGCTGTCTATCAACTGGAGCAGCACCGGATGAGCAAATTGCAGATAAATAAAATGAGAGGCGGAGAATTTTTTTTGAAGAGGCAATGGTAATATTTAATGCAATACATCATTAAATAGATACATTGATTTTTTTCATATATTTTTCTCATCAAAGAATCTATAAATATGAATAAAATTTAAAATGAGTTATAAAATTATAAATTTTTTAATTTTTACAGCTTGTGTTTTGTGCAGTAATTATATTAATTCATTTGCTGCTTTTTGAAGGTATTATTATTTTTTTTTTTTTAAGTGAAATCAGACAAAATAAGCACCAAAATAATTTCTTCACATGTTCGTCTACCCCTTTTTTGCCTGTGTCATTTTTTTGTTAATTAAGCCCAACTTCAAGAAGTTTGAAGCGTTTCCAATGGATAAAAAAAGTTCATATTTTGAATAATTTGTAAATATTCTATGTTTTTAATCTTCTTGTATTGCAAATGATCTCAGAAGTCAATTTGAGCAGTTAATTTTTATAATTCATATTCTCAAAAATGTTAAATAGGTGTTTTATGCCTGGATAGGACTCTGGACCCAGCAAGTAGCAATTCTCCAGTTTTCAGGTTTTAGTTTTTGCTTATATAATTAATGATTAGACTTCGCACAATTGCATGGGAAATTAAACTCATGTGAGCTCGAAAGTTAATCAATCACATCCGGCTTTGGATTTATCAGAAATGACGTCGCTTATTCCGGTTTTTGTGCTGATAAAAGTTAGCGAGAGAGAGAGGAAAAATAATGGGCGTCTCTCTCTTTACAAAGTTTCATCAACAAAATAAATTCTTCCATTAAATGAGTATGCATGGCAACCATCAATTTAAAAGTTGCTAATTGGTGGTGGAGTCGTTTTTTCCCACAATTCCCTCTTCCAAATAATTTGCATTTCAACAATTGACCGTAAAAAATGTGATGGATCAATTTTAACAAATAAACAAAAATTTTTAAACAAACTGATTTTTTTATTTAAAAAAACACACACACATAAAAAAGTATATCAAGATAATTAAATGCAAACAATGTTGTAAGAATATGTGGAAAATAAAACAAAAATACTGACAACAAGATTTAAAAAATTCAGATATTTTGCGCTCACGCTCGCGCTCAAATTTTCAAAAATATAAATAAATTAACGAAGTCTCCGAATTACGGAATCATAAATTTGTGAATGGAATTGAAGATTGTTCGGCATCTGGGTTGGAAAATAACTGCCTTTTGCACTGCCTGCGAAACTCAATGACCACGAACAGGCTGTAAATGATGAAAGCTGCGAAAAAAGGAAAATAATAATTTTGCACGAGACTTTATCAATCTCATTAAATTTGTTGAAATTAGAGAGTAAAATTGCAATAAAATGGAGCTTGAAAAACCAATTTTGAAGAATTATTTTTTAACTGATTATCTCGAATTAAGTTAAAAAAAAGTAATTTTTTGTTATAATCAAAAAGGGCCAAAGCCTTAAGCATTTTTTATTTTCTGGTTATTCAAATTCCACACGGGACGAGGGAAAATCTTGGGCGTCTTATTACAAAGTTTAAAATAAATTTATTTCATGACGACGATCGATTTAATTTTTGGCAATTAAAAAAGGTTCAACTTGATCTGTGTACAAAAATAAATATTATATAAAATTTCGGATACTCACCATATTTGAGGGTGGCGTAGGAGAAGTAGAATAAAAGTGCAAAACCGCTGAACGTGAGAAAGTACAAGGGGGCGTACAAGAAAATGCCAAAAATTGCAGAAATCCAGTTGATGATGAGCCAGGGCAACGTGTAATTGCTTTTTCCCTAAAATTTGTGGTTTCAAATAAATTTTTTGTTGCAATGAAAATATAAATATTAATTACTTTGAGAGCTCCAGTGATGAGCAGAGCAGGGAAAATCAGACGGAAAATATTGCCAAGTGCGAATAACAATGAGTACTTCCTTAGCAAGACAGAGAAAACTGGGTCCAATTCTTAAAATAAAAAATTAAAGTCCGTTTTTTTTAATTATATTTCTATACCTTCGACTGTATACTGATCCAGTTGGTCCTCATTGTCCTCAATGTCCTCATTGTCCTCGATGTCCTCATTGTCCTCAATGTCCTCATTCATATATTCAGCCAGGCCGAATAAAAACTTTGGATTATTGAATTCTTAAAAATTTATTATATGATTTGTAAAAATTTGACACATGAAAATTACCATCAAAAGTGCCGCTGCAAACTAATCCAAGAATAAATAGAGTTTCAAGAATAGCAATCTAGGAACACAAATTTAATTACCAGCTTGAAATTAATAATAATGATTTTCTTTTCTTACTATTTCGAAAATTCCAACCACAATCACAGCGTGAGATGCGTGGAGGCGGAAGAAAAATTGCCTGTGCTTCATCTTGGACGCAAAATAATGCAATGGTCAGAGCGGGTCAGAGAGCTCGAAAGGCTGCTTTGCAAATGGTGCAGAGAATAAATACAAATTCAGGGGAGAAGGAAAAATTTGTTGATAAAAGGCATTGATATCTATAATCATAGATAAATAATAATCACAGTATACAAAAACAATATCCTGTATCCTGATCGGGCGCACCGAGCAGGATAAGCTATGAAGGCTGAAAAAACCCACCAGGAAAACCTCAAATTTCAAATCAAATTCAATGATAAATTTTATATTATTCTCTACAAACAATTAAAACTGGATTTTTACCATCAGAAATAAAAAAATTCTTGCTCACTGGTCTCACTGCGGCGGATTGGGTCTTTTTGGTCTCGGAAGTTTTAGCAAAATTCTTGCTAGTGGTGGTGACTTTTTCTCCAACAATTCCTTTTTTATTAAATAAATTGTTTTCAACAATTTAATTTAAACCATGTATTATACCAATGTGGATTGATAAACAACAATTATAAAAATAATTTAAAACGTTACTAATAAGTTTTTTTTTTTTTTTTTTTTATGCCAGATGTGTTGAGCTTTTCAGCTATTCATTCTTCGAGCAATCCAATAGAGTTGAGATTCAATTTCTGTCCTGCTCAGGTTTTGCAGGGGGTCAATTTGGTTTAAAAGGACGGCACAGTTAAAAAGGTGTGCCCTGTCTTGCACATCTAATTTACATAATTTACATGTTGCTGGTTCCTTTGTTATGTTGAATTTATTCAAATAGTGCTGCAGGCCGTCGTGTTCTGTGGCCAGCCTCAGCTGGGCAGTGGCAACTGATCTTGGCCAGTTTCTATCAGGCCCTTTTTTCACCTCCTCTCTCCATGGCTTATGTCTACTCTGGAGCTCATGTTTTGCTTCAACTGCGGTTTTTCTCTTGGTCCTTATCTTGTCCTTAGCCGCGTCGAGGGAGAGTCCATTTGATTTGAGAGGGGGCTTTTTGGAGCCCATTTTTGCTAGGGCATCGGCTAGCTCGTTTCCATGGATATTTGTGTGACTAGGAATCCACTGCAGACTTAGTTCGTAGTTTTTTTCTCTTAATTTGACTAGGGCCTTCTTGAAGTTGAGGGAGGTTGGGTGGTAGTTGGTGATGTTGGCGATGGATTGGATGGCTGCTTTGCTGTCAGAGAGGATGACAAATCTTGTTTTGTTGAGGGGAAAGGTTGGCTGCTCCAGGATGCTCTCAGCGGCTCTTACTATTGCAGCACACTCGGCGTCAAAACAGCTCGAGCCGGAGGGCATTGGGTGGGATTCTTGGAAGGCGAAGCAGTACAGGCCAAAGCCCGTGTTGCCAGAGGCGTTGTCCAGGGAGCCGTCGGTATAGATGTGCACCCAGTTGCTGATGGGAAAGTGCTTGGCCAGGTGGTCTTCTGTGAGACGTTGTCTCAGGTCTGCTGGCTGCTCACCTTTTTTTCCTAGTTGATCTATTTGGAGCAGAGGATTTAGGAAAGCGGTTTGGTTTTTAGCAAAGGATGCTGTTTGGAGAGGAAGAGGTTGACGAGGGAGGTCGAGAGCTTCGGGGCAGAATTTAGCCTTCTAAACTAATAAGTGCAAATTCAAATTCCATTTTTAAAATCTCAGCATAAGAATTAAATTAGTGGAACAAGCTCAAAAAGGCACCAATTTTTTGTTTTACATTTTAACACAGGAATGCATAAATTTTTATTTTATAGATTGGTATGTTTTTAAAGAATTTTAATTTTTGGAAATTTTTGCCCTCAATTAAAAGTGTTTTATCACATCTGGAATTTTTACCTTTTTTACACCGGCTTTGACTTCAATATCTTGCGTCTTGGAATTCCACATCAAGGCGATTATTCACAATTACTAATTGAAGTTTGTTTGAAGAAGTTGACACTCGAGGAAATGAAGAGATTGGGCTTTTCCTCGTTGTAGAAAAATTGTTTTTAATAATTCAAAGCCATTTTTTTTTTAATAATAATGAAAAAAATTCTGCAACGAGGAAAAGCCCGATCTCTTCATTACTAATTTAAGGTTTAAATTTTTAACTTCAAATGTTTAATTTGTTAAAAATTATAAAAAAAATCTATTTAAAAAAGACCAAAACATATTAAGAATCGCAATCCTTTTTTTCATTTCACCTCAGGAAATAGTAATGAGCAGCTGTGCCCAAAATGTAAAGGGTAAAAAATCTGTGCTTTTATTTAGTTGACTTAGATTGTTATTCTCTTTTAAATTATTTATTTATATTAATTTGATTTTAAACGAGAGCAAAGAAAATTAAATCCAGATAGTAGTGGTAAAAGTCAATTCTTCGTGGTTGACTTCTGAAATTGCTTTTACTGGTCCTGCTGATAATAATAACAAGGTAACAGGAAAATCTAAAAAAAATTTTACAGGAATTTAAACAAAATTACTAAAGTATTTTCCTGCTTTTGATAGAGTAATTTGTTTATTTACAAAAGAAATGAGTTGCAAACATTATAAAGAAGAATTGAGTTTTCAAAGCTCGTAGAGCTTAGGCAAGGAGAGGAGGTCCTCGTCAAAAGTTATGATAAACCACACTCTCGGCGTCTGAGCTGGAAGACCTTTTGCACTGGGCGTGGTACTCGTTGACCACGTGCAGGCTGTAAATGACGAAGGCTGCAAAAATAAAATCAAATAATTAAGTAGTTTAATTTTATGAGTAAAATATAATTTTCAGATGCTCACCATATCCGATGGTGACGAAGGAGAAGTAGAAGAAAAGCACCAGGCCACTGAATGAGAGGAGGAACATGGGGACGTAGAGGAGAATTCCCAGAAAAGCTCGGAGCCAACTGACGATGACCCAAGGCAAAGTGTAAAAGGTGTTTTCCTGTAAATAAAAAATTTCGAAATTTTTAGATTTGTAAATTTTTTATTACCTTGAGAACTCCGACGATGAGCAGAGAAGGGAAGATCAGGCAGAAACCATAGAAAATTGTGGACGTCCACAAGAAATGGCTCCAAAGGTCAGAGTAGGAGTGGAGGTCTTAAAAAGAACAAAAATTAGCTAATTTTTATTTAAAAAATTTAATGTTATATACTTTTCCAAAATTCCATATTCTTCTCCTCTTGAAGTTCATGCTCAATTTCATGCTCACCTAAAAAAAAAATATTAATTCTTAATTTAAAAAAAAATCTCAACCAACCAAAGGAAAGGAAACTGAGACAAAATCCGAGACCAAGTAGAGCTTGGAGAATCGAAATCTAAAAATATTATTAGATTAGATTTTTATTTAAAAATAATTGATTATTTCCTTACCACTTCGAAAATCCCGACCACAATCGTAGCCTGGGCGGCGTTGAGGCGGAAGAAAAAGTACTTGGAGCCCATGTCGGAGGAAAAGCGAGACGTCTGCGGAGGCAAAAGGCTGATTTGCAACTGGTGCCTGCGAAGGTAGACAGAAATAAAATGAGAGAGGTGGAAATGCTGGAATTTTTGCCGATCAAAAGACAATGTTGGGATGCATTTTTAAGATAGAAGGAAATCCACATGCTCGTCGCAGAGAAGAAATTTCTCACATTCACCGAATGTATAAAATTGTATCGCTTCCAAGGGCATATCATGACCGTCTTGAATGACAAAGCATGACAGAAAAATGGAATTTTAGAAGAAATCCCTGTAAAAGAAAATAAATATTATTGTTATTTAGATTTTTTTATAGAAAAAAACCAAGCAATTTTTACTCAAATAATTGCAGAAACATATTTTTCATTTTTGTTAAAAATTTATGGCTGAGAAGCTAAATTTTTCATCTCATAGAGAATTTATTTCTAATTAACTTCATAAAAAAGCAGCAACAAAATATATGTATAAATTCGCATCAAAAAATCCAAGTAAAAGATAAAAAATTCTTAGTTTTAAAAAAATTATTAAATCACATAACTAATTTATTTTGAATTTGAATGGCATTAATTGGCAAAAATCCCACTGTTAAAATGAATTTTGGGCAGAATTAAAATGACAGATTGACTATTTTTACCAAATTATTTAACAATAAATTAATATTTAATCAAATTTACAAATATTTGCAGTTATATCTTTAAAAAAATGAAAGATCCATTTTGCATTTAAAGATGCAAACAAATAATAAAAATTATCAGAAAATTAAAAAATTCCTCTCCGGTTTTAATTAAATCATTATTCTGCGTTTCTTTTCGACACACCCGATGCGCAGATCGAAACCCCAGCCAGCGTTTTTGTTGTGCGCGTCTTATACATTATTTGTTTGCTCCCCAAAATCCATTCTGGTAATGATTGGCAAACAGACACAATGCAAATTGCACCCAGACAGTCAACACGTCGACGGAGAAAAGAAGTGTCGCGAGGGAGATTGGAGAGCAAACATTTGCGATAACTTCTGCGCCACGTCAAATATTAATGGCAAATTGATTTCCGCCTCCACATTCTCCTTTCGAGCGTCGCTTTCCTTTCGGCTAAATAAAAAAAATTCTCAAATTTATTGAAAAAAAAATTCTGGATTTTTCAATCAAGTCGAAGAAGGATTTTTAAAACAAAAGCAGGCCAAAAGTGAGTTATGGCGCAAATTCAATTCGCCCACTTTTGTTCCGACGCTTTCAGCAATTGATTTTATTGAATTTCGTTGAATATTTCAATCTTTTGGTGCAGAAAACTCATTGGAATGGAAAATGATCCAATTTATAAAGTAGTGCCTACAGAAAACGCGTACTGAGAGGCAAATTTAAGGAAATATGAATTGAATAAAAAAAAATTTATGCATAAAATAACCAGTGAATTTATAAGATCGATTGAAGAAAATCTGATTTCTTTTATTTCCTAATAATATGCGATTCAAGAAATAAACTATAATTACGGCTGAATAGATCAAAATACTGTTTTTAGATGTGATTTTTATTTTAAAATTGGTAGATGAAAAAATTTCAAAAACTGTAAATTCCAATAGAAGGAAATTTTTGTAAATCCAAAAATTAGCTTTTTAACATAAAATTGGTAATTTAGAGTTTTGTTTTGCCAGTTTAATTCTCTATTTATCTTAATTTGAGTTCTGTTGATGATTTTCCATTGCTAATTACACATTTTAATTAGAATTAAAAGGAGGGAAAAGAAACATTATTTGAAGAATATGAAAAAAAGGTGTAAATTTCAGCTTGACCATTTCAACGTTATGAAATTTTAACTTTCCAAGTAATTTCTGTTTTGAATAGTTTTGTACAGGTTTCAATAATTATAAATTTACAGCTTTAATTAACAATTTTGAAAAGCAATATTGCTTGAAAATTCGTCCTAAATTTAAAAAATAAATATATTGTTTATAATAAAATAAAGAAATTAATCAACCAAGGCTTGCTGCGGCGGATGGGGTCTTTTTTATCTTGAAATTTTAAGAAAAATTCTTGCTAGTGGTGGTGCCGTTTTGTCTAACAATTCCTTTTTTTAAATAATTTGTTTTCAACAATTGAATGTAACAAAATTTGGAAAAAAAATAAACAGCAATAAATAATTAAAATAAATTTAAAATATTTTATTTCAATTAAAATGAAATGAAAACTTCTTAAAAATACTTTCCTGCCTAAATTCAAGTCTGCGAATTGAACTTGTTTTGACAAAGGAAAGATTGTTCACATTTGCAAGTTTTAGAATGAAAAATTAGAACGGCGGTTTCAAATTTGTTTGAAGAAGTTGACACTCGAGGAGATGATCATGGAAATGAAGAGATCGGGCTTTTCCTCGTTGCAGAAAAATTGTTTTTTATTCATCAAATGAATAAAAACAAACAATTTTCTCGTCATTTCCGTTGATTTCTAAAATTAACAAATTTTTGTAAATTTAAAAAAAAAATCTAATATTTCCTCAAATCCCTTGGAATATTGTGCAAATTATTCCTGTGTGTGAGACAAACTATTATAGTGCGATGGGAAAAAACAATTAAATGGGAAAACGCCGAGATTGGCGGGGCTCCTCGAATCGCAATCGACCAAAAAGCGATTTGCCCAACGGGAGAGATGGACGGACGGGCGTCCTAATTTTCGCGTTCGGTGGTCGAAGCGTGCGCAGGGAGTCGATTTCGGTGCGCATCTGTCGTAACCATGGCGACCCGGTGTGTCAGCAGCCACATTACTGCCGCCGATCTGGGGGGTAGTTCTCCAGTAGTGGTGGCCCGGTGGCTGCTGGCAGGGTGGTGCAGCTCCTCACATCCCCCAGACGACCGCTTTCTGCAGCCGATTCTGCAGGGCTCAGACCCTTGGATTTTCCGTGCGAATGGTGAGCCACTTTTCTTCAATTATAAAAAACAACCCCTGAAACTTTAAAATAAAGTAAAATAAAAAAACCACCCCTAAACAATGATCAAATCACGCTTTAAATCCTTTACAATAAAAAAAATATTAAATTTATTTAAAAAAAAAAAGTAAATAAAATTTGTTGCCAAGTAAATTTGAAAAACATTCTTGCTTGATCTCTGAAATTTCTTCAAAATCTTAGAGCTTTTTTCACCCAAAATTTATTCTTTTCCTTTTCCAAGTAAATTTTTTTTCGTTCGGAACTTTCTCCTTGAACTTTCTCTATCGAACGACCTGAATTTCGTCTCCGCCACGTTTATTGCATTCCTCAGAATGGATTTTCAGGTGAAACCGGATACTATTTTGGGCAAAATTAAACTTCCTGCTGTGATGGAAAGCAGGGCTGCTGTCGTTAAAGGCAGCGCGCGGTGCCATTCTCGACAGCAGCCGTTAAAAGATCCATCTCTCGACTCTGTTTACTTTGCGAGCGACTCTCTCTGCCTCTCTTTTTATATATATATATGCATAAAAAAGTAAATATGTATTCCCTCAAGTGGTGGCGACGAGCACAAATTTCTATACGTATTTGGCCCCTTTGATCAGTGGGGTGGTGGAAAACTCAAAAGACAAGAAGACGACCAGTTTGTCTCTTGCCTTTTTTAAATGTTAGGGAAGAGGCCGACGATTATGGGACACTTTAAGGTGAAGAAACAAAACTGCCCATTTAAGAGTTTAAAAAATTTAAAAGAAATCTGAGCCGAAACGAAACCAAATTTGACTTTTAGATTTGTACCGAATTTATTATAAAAAGCCTAACTTTCAACTTTTATTATCAACTTTTTTCTTGACAAAATATAAAATAATTAATTCCCCCGACTGTTCCAAATTAAATAAAAAAAAAACTGAACTTGAGAGAAGAAATGGACATTTGAGATTAGAGGAAACGTTCAGGAAATTGCTGGAATAATTTTCTATTCAAAAACAAGACAGTTCAGCCAGTTTTGGTCTGCATCAGCAAATTTAATAATTTAAATTGAAATTAAAAACTTCAATTATCAAATTTTCTGATGCAGACCGAAACTGGCTGAACCGTTTTGTTTTTGAATAGAAAATTATTCAAGCAATTTCCTGAACGTTCCCTCCAATCTCAAATGTCCATTTCTTCTCTAAAGTCCAATTTTTTTTCAATTATTTTGGAACCGTTTTCAATTTTATTTTTATTTTCAAATATGTTGATTTTTTTATTTATTTTTTTTAATAGTTTTTGAAAACCAAAATTTTATCAATTAATGATTGATTTTGTTTTCCTTAAAAATTACTTTCATTAGATAATCAATTCAGACTGTTTAAAATTTTAAAATTGATTGAAAATAAAAAAAAAATCTTATCCGTTCCTTTTCATTAAAATCTTCGTTAAAAATTACATTATTTTATTTGAGAAAAGACAATAAAATAAATGTGACGAGTTAATTGGTATTTTGACGACTTCGATGATTGATTTTTTATACGATTCATAAAAAAGTGACTTTTTAGGGTGTCAGCCTTAATCTGAAGAGGGCGAGATATAAACATTTTTATGGGGTGATTTCAAGCACAAGGTGGATAATCTACAAGAAGCGTCACTTTTCAGAAAATCAATATATTTGAAACACAATTTAATCCGCAAACACTTTTAAAAGGGGTGTGGCGCCTGTGAAAGCGACACATTTTCAACCCCTAATTTATCTCCACAGCAGGTTGCATGACGCACAAACAAACAGTCACGCGAGACGCTTCTGCGACGCCAGCCGGGAATACTACATATATTTTCCATGAGCGCGTCCCACGCCCAAATTACAGCCTAATGGATGGAAGGGCTGGCGTTATTCGTGCGAATTTTCCTTGTGCGCGGGTGTTTCAATCAGTTCAGTTTTATCTATATAAATAAACCGGAGCGGGAAATGATGCCAGTTAATTATGACCTCGTTTGCGGATTCTTTTATTATGCGAAATAATTGATATTCAATCCTGCTTTTGCAGGAAACCAGCTCGAATTCCAAAGGAGGAAGTAATAATATTGAATTTAGTTATTCCAGTTAGTTGAAAATTAATTATATGTTAAATTAATATAGCAAAATAAGATGGATCAAAAAATTTTAAAAAAAATTAAAATTAGGCAAAAGTGAAATAAAAATACGATAATTAAATATAAAGTTTCAACTTGCAGCAAATAATAAAATAATATCAAATACATACTCAATGAGGAGAGTGACAATTTTTGATTAATTAATTTTAATTAATTCATACTTAACTTGCAATTTGTGACTTACGGGATTGTTGAAAGATATCATTGCTTTGTATGAGTTTTTTTTTATTCGATCATAATTTTTGCTTAAAATCTGCTCAACTGAAATTAATGAAAATTATGAATCGCTGTTTAATTTTCAAATTAAAAATTCAGTTTAGAAACGAGAGGTTTTACTCTTTCCAGCTTTGTTATTCAAAATTTAACCCTTTCGCTGGCAATTTTCCTCTAAATTAAACTCCGAATTTACTGCGCTGGAATTAATTTAATTATAAATATTAAATATGTCTCGCTCTGCTTTCGTTTATTTTTCACTCGGATTTTCTTTTGCTTTTCCCGACGTGTGTCCCCGTTTCTCGTTGAAAGGACGCTTGAATGCCACCCCGAATCGGCCGATCCATGTTGCAGTGCCCCGCGGGTTGCATACCTGCTCTCTTTTCAGGCACGAGACTCGCTCTTCCTCGCGTGTTTGCAGATCTCTGGCGGAGTTTCAATGGACACGTGGAACTCACCAGAGTCTTTGTTTTTTCTTCTGACGGACAGAATGTGTGAGAAAAGGAAAACGTTTTTCTCGGGAGTCTGGGAGACGAGGCACGTGCCATCTTTGATTGGATTATGTTCCAAAGAAAATGGAGAGAGAAAAAATCGGGGAAAAAATAAAATGAAATGATGCAACAGCTGCGGTTTTCCTTTTCAGCAAAATCAACTAATTTAATGTAAGGAAAAAATAGAGCCATTTTCGTTCTTAAATATTTGGATCTTCCGTAGATTTAGATTTTTCGTGCTAATTCTAACTTTTGTGATTAAGACATATTCACGATCTGAAACTCCTTCCAATAAATTAATTTAAAACAATTTAAAATAAGAAAAAAGATTAAAATTGTGAATTTAAATTAATAACTAAAATTGAAAGAAGGTTTTTTTCCCAAAAATTCTTGGATTCCTCTTTTTCTACTTTAACAATTCACTTTTTTTTTTTTAATTTGACATTTAAGTCTATTGGCGTTTGTGTGGAGGGGTGAGCAGGACAGTTGTTAGTCAAAAACAGCTGGTGACGGGTCAAACAAAGGACTTTGTTGACCGACCTGGAAGACAAAAGACCCTGCCAATGTGCTGCTGACGCACTTCGGCACCGAATTCCCATGTGGCCTTCATTCAAATTGTATGATTCAGTCAGATGCAACGTGCCACCTTTTTTTAATTGGAAAAAAATCAATCATTTTTACTGAGGCTTGAGAGAGAAAGGTGATTTTTGTTGGCAAAATATGTATTTGTGTTAGTAATTTTAAGTTTTTTTGGCTGTTGTTTATGAAATTTATTATTAAAGATCCTCTCCGGTCAAGTGTATTGCTCTCTATTCTGAAAGATTGCTAAATTTTGAGTATATCTTGTGAAAAAACTTATTGAAAAATCCAAAACGTTGCGTCTCAATCAAAAGAAAACCTAAAATACGAGTGATTCGCGCGAAAAACGTGTGAGAATTGAGTAGCCAATCAGATCCGTCAGTTTTTTTCCCCAAAAACTGCAGGTTTTTGTCACTTTTGGCCCGTGGGGCATTAGTGGCAAAATCAGCGATCGCAGCGCCAATGTGACCAAATTCTGTAATTTTTGGAACAAACTGATGGATCTGATTGGCTGCTCAATTCTCACACGTTTTTCGCGCGAATCACTCGTATTTAGGTTTTCTATTGATTGAGACGCAACGGTTTGGAATTTTCAAATAGTGTTTTCACAAGATATACTCGAAATTTAGCAATCTTTCAGAATAAAGAGCAATACAAATGACCGGAGTGGTTCATTAATATTAGTCCTCTTTCCTCAATTTGTGTGAAATTCTTGGATACGAAGTAGATATAAAAGACTTAAAATCACAAAGTAGATTAAAATAGATTGTTAATTAATAAATTACATGAAAAAATTATATATTTTACAATTTTTACCTCTTTTTTGGTAAAATTTTTCAACCATTATTTTTACAAAATCATAAAGGAGATAAATTCATTAAATTTGTTTTTACATTGATCAAGAGCAAATTTACGTTTAAAAGATAAAATCCATACATTTGCTTCAAAATCTGTAAGTAATTAATCCGTTCCATTATTAACATGTCAATTACTCTCGTGACCTCTGACAGGTATCACATTTTTTTCCGCCACGCGTGTCCACTGTTCTTCCAATGGCGTATCACGTGTCCACTTGACTTTTCATTTCGCCGCCTGCATCCATTTTATCCCCCCCGTACAAATATCACATATCACAAAGGCCTTTCAGAATGTGTTCTATGTCTCGAATATCGCTCTGTGAAAAAGAGCCGAGTTTCTTCTCTCACACAGAAAGAAGCATCCCTTAAAAAATTCAAACGAGCCATCGATTCGAGCAAATCGATAAAGACGCCGTTTCATTCTCCCCGGACGATAAAGTTAAAAAACGCTGCCGAGCAACTCGAGCGCATATAATCCTCAATGTGTCCTTTTGAGAGTGTGTTTGTGTTAGCAGAGCGAGTAGATTTGTAATTCCAAATGTAAATTTCGTTGCTGCGCGAAACGGATTTGCTTCAGAGCGCGTTTTATTCAAACACATGTGCGACCCAAATTCAGAGCGTGTGTGTAAGGGTCGCTCTGTGTGTATAATTGCATTAAAGTTGAGATTCGTCATTGCGAGACGGGCGCATTATGGGGAGCTTTGTGAGCAGAGGAGGA